TACTACGCAAGGTAGGATCATCTAAAATGTCACTCCTTTTTTGCACCTAATCAAATAGTTTCAATGGTCTGAGGTTCTCACCAAATGAGCCCAAAGGGTATGCCAACCTCTTTCTTCCCATCCTACCTGTAAAGTGAAATAAGATGCATTTTTTGGAAGTCATTTCCCTGGCATTTAGGATGCCCTCTTCTTGGCTGGCACCATTTGAAAACTTTTAACACCCACTCACTGCCAGGAAGTCCGGATTAGCAATCTTTGTCTTTAAGTGTATCTTGAACATAAAAAGTGATGCATTTCACCTTATCAACGGGAAATCTTTGGAGTCCCTAAGGATATATAATTCTTTCCACATTTCCTGTTCCTCACCCCACGCTGTTGGCTTGGGGGGTGGGGTGGGAATCAGCTCCCTCTTCTCCTTATCTGTGCTCATTCCCTCTTTCCACTTTTTTTCAGCCCCAAAACTCAGATCCTCCTTCCCTGACTATCTGTAGCCACTCACTGCAATAACTGGGCTTTTATTCTCAGCTGTTACCCCAAAGTCTCCTCCTGGCTCTCTTCTGGTTCTTACCTAACAACTTTCCCAAAGCCAGAGTCATAGCTACCGTGCGGGGTGCTAGCTGGGGGGGGGGTTGCCCTAGGTGAAGCCTCCAGAGGGGTACCATTGAGGCTCCCAGCCTGTGTGTGTGCATGTCCTGGTTTTTGGGTGTAAAAATGGCGTCATGGGTGAATTTTGCCAAATTGGCAAAATGTCAGGGAATGCCCAGATGTATGGCAATGCGATGGAAAAAGCAGTGGAAACAGCTCAAAGCGCATAAAATCACTATTTTTGCAGGTGTCAGGAATTTTTACTTTTTGAAATATGGCAACCCCATGTGGGGTGTGTGTGTGTACCAAACTGGGTCTTTTACCTGAATGAAATAAAGTCTAGATTTGCCTCTGCCAAAACTCTCCAAAATTGCTACCCAAACTCCCTTCTCCTTTTCTGAATCCCTTGTTCCAAAACAAGCAGATCCTTCAGTCTAATCTTCCCTGTTCTCTCATTCAGCCAACATCACCCCCACCACCCTACCCCCCCTTTCTCTTTCGTTACTTTTTCTGTGTTTTCAGGCATGCTTTTGGAACAATTGTTTTTTAACTCTTTCCTCTGTTGAAACATCTTTGGTAAGTATGTTACTTCCCTTTTTGATACAATAAAAAATGACATTTGATCTTTCTGTTGCCCTTGCGGTGCCGAATTCTGTAGCGCATCTAGGTCTCCACGATAAAAAGATACCAAAATATTACAGACAGATTAATGATGAAGGTTAAAGGTTATCAAGGGCCATAATGGCTATGTTCAGAGGCCATGTACTGCACTCTCGGGGCCTGCTTATGAGAAAGAGGAGAGCTTATTTACATGAACAGGAAGGTGATAAGTGACGCAGGTGAATCCATTCACCATCAATCAACCTTCCCACTTAGCACCCTTTGAAGTACCCTTTTAGCAGCATGCTGATTTTTAGTTGATTTTTAAAATTTGCACTAACATGCCTTTTCACCTACGGATAGTTTTAAAATATTCAGAAATCCCGCACAATAGTGGTTAAACGAAAAAGCATTTTAGCATAAATTTTCCAAAATGGACTATTTTTAAATCCCCCAGTGTTCAATTACCATAAAAACACTTTTAGCTTGTTTGGTGTTGTTGTTTTTAAGGGGGGGGGAAGGTTAAATTGCAAAACATTGCCTCCCTAAAAAGTGCTCCAGCAGTGCAAATTAAAACGCGACCGAGATTGTATTGTGAAGTGAATTTGCTCTTCCCCACCCTGATGGGTGTCAAATATCCACTAGTGTGAATGAAATATAATGAGATGTACACAGAGGGGAGAAAGAAACGAAAAAGACCTAACTCTCCTCCACAATTAAGTGTGGAAAGTAAATTACACCCCTGCCAAAGTCTCACGGTGGTAAGGGAGTGCTAAGAGCCATTGGTTTGGTCTATCACCCAGTAACAGGCAGAGGGTTCTGTATGTGATGGCTTAAGAGGAAGAAAGAGAGACCAAGAGACAAGCACACATCTCTACATGCTTGGTTTAGGCATGTGGAAAATGATCCACTTCTGACAGTCCTCCTCTGCTTGGCTTTTCGAAGAGGACATTTCCATCATCTACTGTGGGACAAAGGACCTTGCGGGAGCATGTCCCTGTCCCATTCTGCTGATGCAATATGAAAGGGTTCATGGAACAAGGTAAAAAGGTAAAGGACCCCTGGACAGTTAAGTCCAGTCAAATGAGACTATGGGGTTGCGGCGCTCATCTCACTTTTAGGCCGAGGGAGCCAGTGTTTGTCCATGGACAGCTTTCCGGGTCATGTGGCCAGCATGACTAAACTGCTTCTGGCACAACGGAATACCATGATGGAAACCAGAGCACACAGAAATGCTGTTTACCTTCCCGCTGCAGCGGTACCTATTTATCTACTTGCACTGGTGTGCTTTTGAACTGCTAGGTTGGCAGGAGCTGGGAGAGAGCAACAGGAGCTCACCCCATCGTGGGGATTCGAACCACCAAACTTCCGATCGGCAAGCCCAAGAGACTCAGTGGTTTAGATCACAGCACCACCAGCGTCCCCTGGTTCGTGGAATAAGAGGGGGTCAAAAGGAGTCCATAGTCCTTTCACCCCTGCTTTGTTTTTAAACCACAATTACCCCATTTAAAGACAAATCACTAATTTTAACATTACCTCCTGTCCCCATTAGCAGGGAGTCACCGCAGTTACAAATTTCTGAGCAAAGGCCTTTGTAGTGGAAAGCTCACATTTCTGCAGATATTCTCCTATTTTCTCCCAGTGTCTAGACATGGTTGCTGGCGCTTCTGGCTTTTAAAGTAATTTGTACGGGGGGGGGGAGTAACACAGGTTGTGTGTGAACCCAAACAACTGTTCTATTCTGAGCTGCCTTAGCAAAGCGCTTCCTTCACTGTTCTGTTTTATTTCTGCTAAGATAATCAGACAAGGACAAGATGCTATTTTCTGCTTTTGCTGTAAACATCCCAAAGTCATGGGGTTCCCATTAAATGTTCTGGGCCAGCAATACTAACTCCTGCAAGACCCAGGAGGCCCTCTCCAGATATGAAAGCGTCCCTTCAGAATTACGCCAAGACATGGAAGGACCTCTCCAATTGGACATTGAGGTACTATCATAATAACAGACCCAGCCTCGGAGTAGTGTACTTTTTCGTCTATAAGACCCCTATGTATAAGACGTCCCCTATTTTTGGGGACTCAAATTTAAGAAAATGGGGAGAGATGGCAAAGAGTTGCTGAGCTTTTTTTTGCAGAGGATTGCCCAGAGTTGAGCTTTTTTTTGGGGGGGGTGGATTACCCAGAGTTGCTAAGCTTTTTTTGAGGGGGGTTGGTTGCTGAAAATTGCTCACCCGCTCACGTCGTTAAATCCGCTCCTGTCTGTCCCATCGCCAACAGAAGCTGCAAATCGTATGCCCAACTGCCGGAGCATCAGCCAATCAACACCACTGATTGATGCAGCAACCAATAACGGCCATCAACAGCTGTGGCAGCAGCCAATCAAATGTCTACCCATGTATAAGACGACACCCACTTCTTGGAAAAAACCTAGTCTTATACACAGAAAAGTACGGTATTTGCTGTCCACGTTCCCAACAAACGAGTAACCCCCTTCTGGGGCTTTGCCATTAGCCTCCTGCCCTATTACACTTTCACAATTCAAGCGTTCTTAACAGCGAGATTTCTTCTTCCCTCCACCCATTTCCAGTGCATAATAGCTTCATATCAGCCCAGTTTTCCCAACGCAGCAAAATATCAGCTGCCCACCTGGGCTGTGGCCTGGATGCTCATTAAAAACAGCAGAGAGCCTTGTGGCACCTGTACACATTTATTATGGGATAGACTACAACCCATGAGAAGGGTTCATCAAGAAGTGTGATCTTGAGTTACAGGCAAATGCATAGACACACTTTGTTGTTTCTCATGCAAAAAGCTGGCACAATTACTGCTCTGGAAACCATGAAAGCACTGAAGTGCCATGGATGGTCTAGTGTGATTACAGAGCCCACAGTGGGCCAAAAGGTTTGCATGGCAGCTTCAATGATGAAAGCTCCCCGTACTTCCTTTCTTTTCAAATTGCCTGTGTTACTGCAAGACACCAGGTACTCCCAGCACTCGCCTGTGGGATTTCCTGTGGCTCACTTATCTTTGGGCTCAACTCCCCCATCACTCTCTTCTTTCACTAGCTTGTTGGCCAGATGGTTTGCAGAAGCCCAGGCACAATTGCAAACCCAACCCACGGTCTGCAAACAAGGCCCCACTGAGCACCAGCTACACATTTGCCCTGCACCTGGGCACCAAACCCACACTGCTATTGGGAAACCTTGTCTGTAAGCTGGATCTTCCACCTTGGGATTCTTCCCATTGTAACTGTCAGCCCTCCTGCCCCACGTTGTTTTGTTTTGTTTGTTCCTGGACAGCAGAGTACCAAGGTGGTACTTGGGAATGCTTTGCATAACACATGTTAGTTTTTTTGCTTCATACTCCTCCTCCTCTCTGGGCTTCCTTAGCCACAATTGGCACCTGGAAAATACACACAGCCGAAGTTAAGTGTTTGCATTTGATAAATGTTTGGATTCAGAGCCATTGAGTTTTGTCAATGGCAGCAGAAAGGGTGTTTGTGGTGGTTAGAAAAACAAGTCTGTCAAAACAGAGAAGGAACAGGGATTAGGGGACAACAGCAGCCCTATCCCAAGGGTGTGCTAAAATTTCAAAGCACAAAACAAACTCTGCACATAGCCGTGGGTTCTTGCTAACAATGAGGACCTAAAGCTTGACCAGTTCAAAAATGGAAAGTTGGGTTCTCTGGATTCACTAGGCACTTGGATTAGTTCTTGTATTCTGAAGCTTATGGCACAACTGTAATTAGTACAGATTCCTAGGTGACTTGAGTGTGAGCAAATGACACAACCCTATTCGTTAATAAGAACAGAATCAGCCTCTTTGGATTTTGTTTAATGGCATTATAAATAAAATGTTTACAAACTTCTCCACCAAGGAGCAAGACATACAGAAATCAAATCTCAGCTGCCTACCACTGGCCTGGCCATAGCACAAATGTAGCATTTACCATGTCCAGAATATCTGGCCTGGAGCAAGGTAAGAGGAGTGGAACTATGATCCAGAGAGAAGGATATTTCTTAAACACGAGAACGTGACATTTTGAATCCGAACTGTTGCAGCTTTGGTTATAAGTAAGCAACTGAACTCCAGCACTTAGCTCCTTTTGTCTTCCACTGTTAGGAAAGAGCACCAACCTTTAATTATTATTTTTTTTAAAAAGGTCTTTGGGTGGTTATGTGAAGGGGGTTACCGAGCAAGGGAGAGAAACAGTGGGAAGTTTCACCTGTTGGATTGGTCCAGTGCCTGTACGAATCTACGAAAACCAAAAAGGAGAAACTTGGAACCGAATCAGCACCGCTTACACAAATCTGTTTGTTCTAGCTTGTTTTGCTTTCGCCAAAAATGATGCTAAACTGAGCAAAGGAAAAAAAATACTCAGTCCAAATCAAGGGAGTCCATACAGAAATATCATCTGAATTAATCCTATATATGTGGATGAAATGCTCCTCATTGCTTTCAAGTAAATCTGGATTTACTCTCTCCAGTAGTAAAAACACAAGAGCATTTTGCCGTTGCCCTCGATCCTCAAATCATGCCCTATTAAAGAAAGCAGAATACACTCATTTCTCCCAAATACACTTTGCTCTGCCACTATGGGCAGGGGCTAATCACTACTCCCCCAGGAGAAGGATGTTCATTCCTATAGGAGTGAGATCAAAGTCTAAACTCAACTCGAGCCTGCAGCGGTGATTTTCCTTCACTACCGCTTGCTTGGGAAGGTGGGGAAGAGGCACTGACGAAGGTGAGGGATGCTCACAGTTCATTCATCCTCTTAACGAACAAATGCACACACAGCCCCTCCCCCTTGGCATTTTGGGGGCGGAAGGAGGGGAACAGAACTCCTCTGCTCACTCTAGAAGGCACTGCTGTGATCAAGTGTGCGTGCAAATACTAGCCCCTGCCTCGGAAAGGGTATAGCAAGAGGCATGTGAAATAGGGAAGGGTCTTTGGCCCGTGCTGCAAGTGAGGAAGCTGAGGGTCCCAGAAGGCAGTTGGCAGAAGGCCATCACTTGGTGACCAGCTACATAAAAACAGGCAGTCAGGATCTCCTGGGAAGGGGGTGGACAGAAGAGACGAGGAAGTATGGAGTCAGGACTCCTGGGTTTCAGCCCAAGCAATGGGTGGACATATCAAGCTCTTAGTGCAAGAGGACTTGTTCACCTCTGAAGGTGAGGAAGCGAACCCAGGTGTCCTAGGTTTCAGCCCCCTAACTCAACCTCAGAGACCACTGCCTCTCTCTCTTCTCCCCACCCTCTCCAGTCAGGAATGGGAACAAGAACTTGGTCCTGTCATTCTTGCTGATTTATGAACAAATAGCTGGCAAATCTAAGGGGTTGGTAGCCAAAAAGGGGAGTGTCAAAAACAGATCAGGAGAAAGGGAGAAAGCTAAGTTTTTGGGCTGAGCCCAGCTGTCAAGACAGAAGACAAAACAGAATCCACAGTGGGTGGGCCTCCAACTGCAACCATACCCAGAGTTTCAAATCTGGCTATTCTTTGTGGAAGTCAAAGGCCCATGCGAGCAAAAGCAAATCTTCAGTTCATTAGGGAAGAGGATCTGCAGATGGTCTCACAGCTGGGGTGCTTCATCGAGAAAGCTGTGGACTGCAAGGCTTCCTGAGGGTGGGGCACAGCCCTGAGCTGCACAAATGTGGGAGCCAGATCACTCCCACCGCCAGCTCCCACAGAGATGTCTCCTTCCTCTTGAAGTGTCCGACTGGCCCACATCCTGGAGAGAGCCTGGAATGACACAGGAGGGTACTCCAAGTCTCGGCGTTGGCCTCCCAGAACAGAGCAAGCAGCCTGACTTCCTGCTTGGCGGCAACCCTGGGGGATGCAAGGCTCAGTAGTTCCCTCCTGCGAATGGTCCCTGCGGTTTTTCAGGTGGTCCGTTCCAGTGGGGGCTTCCCTTTCTAGGCTTCAGTCTTCCGCAAACTCAGTCTGCTGAAGGAGTTTCTGGCAGGAGGAAACAAGCACAGCGCAAGACTCAGAAGAAGAAAAAACATGTTCTGTAACTGGGGATTGGGAGGGAACGATAACAGCATGGCAAATGGCTTCATCCTGAAGTTTCAGGCAGATAAGAAGACAGTACAGTGGTACCTTGGGGTAAGAACTTAATTCGTTCTGGAGGTCTGTTCTTAACCTGAAACCGTTCTTAGCCTGAGGTACCACTTTAGCTAATGGGGCCTCCCGTTACCGCTGCACTGCGATTTCTGTTCACATCCAGAAGCAAAGTTCTTAACCCACAGTACTATTTCTGGGTTAGCGGAGTCTATAACCTGAAGTGTCTGTAACCCGAGGTACCACTGTACTGTCCAAATCTAAGACATCCTGAATGGATAAAAGCCACACTAGTAAAGCCCGAAGCACAGCTTCCAAAAAACTGCCACCTTTATAAAAGGTACAGAGCAAGCTGCCTTTGCCAGCTCAAAAACCACTGGTCCACTTAGTTCAGTATTGTCTAAACCACTGAAGAGTCAAAGCCCCAAGGTATTTACACCTTAGAATTGGAGTGGGGTGGGCAGACAGGTGGTCCTCCAGATAAATGATGTTGGAATCTAACTCCCATGTCGAAACCAGCATAGCCAATGATCAAGGATGATTTGAGCTGTAGACCAGCAACTTCTATAGGCAGAGCCGCTGGTTAGCAAAACCTGCTAGGCTGAAACTATGCACATGAAGGAAGTGTCTGCACCGGCTATGTGCCACAGTGCAGTGTACTTGGGGGATGGGGAACGGCCCTTCAGAACTGGTGTACAGGATTGTGGGGACCCCAGAGGTTTTTTCCACTGTGCTGGTGAGCAGATGGCCCTGGGCTCTGCCTTAAGAGGCTGGTTGGAGTGCCCTTCTGGTGACTTCCAACTCTCTGACCAGGGCCTGCGAGCAAGGACCGGGACCAAAACTTCCTTTTCCTAACAAACAAACAAAAACTACATAAATGGGATAAAGAAATAAAACCAACATTTAGCGGAAATTACGGATAGACTTCCAGGTTCAGGAAGGAATATGACCTTTAAAAAAAATTGAAATGAAATGTATGGAGCTCATGCTGTAGTCTGTGTTTTCTTTCCAGACCTCCAGGCAAAATCCCAACAGGAGCTTCCTGCCCTGGGGAGAAGCACAAGGGCTTGGGGAGAGGCTTCCAGTCGAAGGTGTCATGTCTGCAGAGAAACCCCAGTAGTCCCTTCTAGCCTTCTCATAAAGATCTTTGCTGAAGGGGGAAAGACAGAGGCCAAAACGACGAGTAGGTGACCAGTGGAATCCTGGCAGCTGTCACCACCAAAGCTGCCTGTGTGGTCTGATCGAAGCATCTTCGATCTGAGTCTCTGCTCACGGCCTTTTTCGGAATCTGCGCAACAAGGTTTCCCTCACCTGTGTGCAGAATGGGGGGCCAGAGGGGTGTAGAGTTGAGGGATCTTGCGGTTGAGAAGCGGGTGCAGGGCTTCCTTGAGGCGCTGGTAATTCCTCTCCAGCTCTCGGAGAAACTCCCGCTGGTCTGGTCCAATCAGCGTCTTGTTCTTGCGAAGGGCGTCTTCACACCTAAAAAAAGAGGGCAGCGAGTAAGAGGTTCGTGGTGGAACTAGCTCAGGGCTGGCTTTGAGGAGTTGTTACTTACTCCAGGCACAGACTCCAGGCATAAAATGCTGAAAAGCAGACCATCTAAATTTCGTTAGTTTAAAGAGAAGCACAACCAGGAATTAGAAATGTCAATCCTCTGGACAGAGGGGAGTTAGGCCTGTTCTCTGCGGCAAGAAAACCCAAGACCATTCAGCCTCCTCAGATGATTCTTAAGCTGCTATCCTATGCTCACTTACCTGAGAGTAAGTCCCTCTGAACTCAATGGAACTTGCCTGAGTAGACAATTGAACCATTAATAAGCTATAAATAACATCTTCATGTTATTTTTAAGCATTTAGAGGCTTAAAAATTACAGGATATTCTCTGAAGGCACCACCTTCTTAAAAAAGAGTGGTCATTCTTATTACCAGCTATTAAACTGCTCTGGAAGTGGTTGCAGGGGTCAGAATATACGTTATCCGATTCAAGTAATGTTGAGTATGCTGGCAGTTAAAACATCCTCATTTTGTCAAGCTTCAGGCTTTAAGGTGCTGGTGAAACCACCGTATAGATTTCTACTGATGATGTGTTGTGGTTTTCTTGTTGGACTGACTGATTTTAATGTTTTTAAATGATTTTCTGGATTCTTGTATTTTGTTATTCTGTTAAGATGCCTTGGGGCATTTCAGGTGAAGGGCAGGATACTAGTCTAATGAGAAATATAATATAGGCAGCCGGCAGGTGCTTTCAGCAGACTCCCCTGCATTTACAGTTAAGGAATAGGTAGCTTCATGAAAAATAACCCTACTTTCCCACCCACCCCTCGCTCAACAAGAATTGCACCAAGATCATGCAGCTGGACGGCTCAGTTGGTTACAGTGCGATGCTGATAACGCCAAGGTTGCGGGTTTGATCCCCGTAAGGGACAGCAGCATATTCCTGCATTGCAGGGGGTTGGACTAGATGATCCTCAGGGTCCCTTCCAACTCTATGATTCTGTGAATACTAGTGGGACTTGTCACAGATCAAAGTAGAGAACGAAACAGGAGCAAAGCCCCTTCCTGTTCAATGGCTGATGTGTGGGAATGGGATAGGAAGTAATTTTTAGCCTAGCCCTCCATTTTCAAAGCATTCAGCATAAATTTAGACATTCAAATCTCCTGGAAAGAAGGTAAGCTAAATTTCCAACAGAAACTTCACATCCAACAAGATTCAAATTGCGACAGGAAGCTCTTGGCAGGGTGTTTAATTAAACACAGCAGGATGCCAGACATCAACAGCCACAACAAAACGTACTAATAAGCAACCTCAATTCTCCGAAAAGGCACTTGAAGCAGAGCAAGACTGAGTGGATATATCCATGTAAGGGCATTACAGGCGGAAAAGGATTTCAAGCTACAGATTCAGGGCAGGTGTGCTTGTGCAGTACCTCTTGGTGAAGTCCTTGAAGCAGAGCCTCAGCTTATTGTGGTGTCGGTAGAGCTTGGGGTCTTCGGGGATCTCAGCCAAAAATACCTGCGCCACCTCCAGAGGTCCCTGGAACACAAGGGCCCTGGGGTCAAGGAGAAGTCCTCCTACTGCCCTCCCCATTGATTCTGACTCAGTAACTCACTCTTAGCTATCACAATGGCACCAAGGGTCTCCATCCTGTTTTCAGGCTCCCTTCCCCTACCCTCTACTTCAGCGTTAACCTGAACTCCTTACCCCCATCAGACCCAGGATTAATTTCTGTTCTCACCCCACACCTGTGATCTGCTGACTCCACAGTCCACTTTGGCTGGAAGCTTCCCTTTCCCCCCAAATCGATCACTTATTCCCATTCCGTGGGCAACTACCTGGTTGACTATGGTGCCAACACATCCTTGCAGCACCATCTGCAACATCTTGGCATCAGGTGGATCTTGGTGGGTGGCAAAGGCCAGCTCCTGGGTCTTCTTCTGCATGTCCTCTATGGCCACCTCTATGGGAATGAGAATAATCTGGGGAGAAGAGTCCAAACAACAGAAAAACAGCTGAAGCGTCAGGAGATGGGCATGTGCCATTCATCTAAAACCCCAAACAAGACATTCTGGGCCCAATCTAAATTCTGCATTAAAAAAAAAAAAAGGGCTCAGTTCAGCCAACTGTAAAAATTAAGCAAATTGAGTATATATACTGTACATCCAAGTCCCACTTAGCAAATGCAATACATTCCCAGGAAATTGAGCATTCACATAATAAGAGCATTATAGGCTTCTTCCTAAAATGGCTGCAGTCAACTAGCAAGAGAAAGACAAAGGAAAAACTGATTTGTCCAATCTCTCCTGATTTTGATTTATCCAATTTGGCTCTCCATTGGCTCCCTCCATGCAGTGACAAACCTTGGGGTCTCAAATTTCAGCAGTGCCCCGTGCGATGCCAAAATTCAGTGGCCCCACCTCCTCTTGCCTTCCATTCTACATCATAATTGCAGCACCCCCTGTGGTATCCCTGAACCCAGTGTGACTGAACTGCTCGCGCTCCCCTAAATCTGCCTCTGCTCCATGGTTTCTGCCTGGAAATGGCAGGCGCCAACCAGGAAAGCATAAGCAAGCAGATGGCGAACTCTGGCTGTTCAGATATCTGAATCAGCTATGCACATAGCGAGGTCTGGGCATGATTCATTGTGTTTCGATAAGTGAATTTTGCATAATGAGCAAGCAGATCGTGGGACTCGCATGTATGCTTAGAAAATTGAGGTCATTTTAATCTGTTTTATATTTTATATATATATTTTTATATGCTTTAAAGTATAGTTACGATTTCTTCTTTATTTCACTGTTTTATCTTTTGTAAACTGCTTTGAGGTTGTTGTTGTCTTAGTAATATAATCTTTTAAGAGTAATATGAAACAATGCAAACAACAAATAATGGTATTGGTCACCAGAAACAAAAGAAAAGACAGTCATGATATTTGTACGGCAGAAAATAATAGCAGCATGTTAAGTTAAAGAACTGTGCTTTGAGGTTTGTCTGTTTGTTTGTTTTACTATCAAGTGGTGAATAAATTCCATGAAATATAAACAAACAAGTAAGTAACTAAGCAAGCAAGCAAGCATGGCTTCTCGTTTATAATTTATTCTGCAATGTTTATTATTTATTTCGAGTTTTGTCAGTCTCACAAGGGGAGTGGGAGAGACATTTTAGCAGAAATGCTGAATCCCACCCCACTGGAAAACATGTCACAGTTTTTTTCTGGTTTCTGAGATTGGGGAATGTATTGCTCACAAGCTCAGGGACTCAAAATGTGCTTTTGATTTTTTTGAGATTCTTGCTTAACTGATTTTTTTCACTACACTATTCTTTGATTTCTGAGAATTGTAGCCCCTGCGCCTCCACTCCCCATTCTCATAAGCCTCCACCCCCACCCCCCATCCCAGAGTACCTCCTCCTTGTGGATGACATTGATGCGGGTCTTGATGTAGGGGAAAGCGTGGGAGGTGGTGAGCAGAGTCTTGCGCTTGAACTGCTCGTGCAGGTCGCCGTGCGCTCGCCCGTCCAGCGTGAAGGGAGTACAGAACATGAAAGTGCGCAGGTTGTAGTTCTTGTCAAAGTATGTGACACGATCCTTCAGCTCATACGTGTCGAAGAACGGCTCCACGTAAGTCAACTGGATGTATGCCTGTGGCAAGGAAGACAGCAAGGCGGCAGGGGCAGTCAGTAGAAAGTTGGGGCAGCATCACCTCATTCTCCCCTGCCACACAAGAGATCTGCTTGTCTTGGCTGTCATCTAAGCTACCAAACACACTGGGAACATCTGACTATAGGAGAAAGCATCCCTTGGCGCTGCAAAGGCTGGACTACAGGTCCATGTCTCTGGTACTGAAGCAGCGGCAGTCCCCACAACGTTTTAAGAAGGGCAACATTTTTCCAAACTGTGCTTATAATGGCTGCAGTCAGAGTGAAGCTCTCAGTAGTCTGCTGGTGGGCATGACTATCTGGAACTTCATTCTGGATGCAACAACGGCAGGAATTGCAGATAAAAATGACCTTAGCAGACTGCGGGAATAAAATGCCTTTACCTGCTGCCAAAACTATTGCTATGGCATGGGTCACACCATAATTTCAGCTTCTTATGAACAAGCCAAGGGATATGGAAGTAGTGGGGAAATAAGAACCTATTTTAATTGTGATATACGGGGCAGGGAGAAGGAAGGTGGCCATTTAGACTAGAAGGAACAGCATGCACCAAATCTTGTAGAGATCTCTTTCCTTGCTGAACATGAGGCACAATCCCAGACCACATGGGGCAGAAGTCCCCCTCCTCCCTATAGTTACTCCAGCCCAACAAAATTTGCAGACTAGTCCCTCAGCAGTGCCTGGCTTGCTAATGCAATGCACTCCCAACACATGATAAAGAGCGAAACTACCTTGTTAGGATCCAGCTTGGCTTTGTCCACAGGGTTGGAACCTTTGATGATTTCTACCATTTCATGCCCAAAGCGCTCAGTATAAAACTCCTGCAAAGGGGAAAGGATACAGGGGAATTCTTCAGATCATGACAAAAGGGACAGAGATGAACATTCGGGCTTCTCCAGCCACTGAGACCAAGGAAAATTCCTCGCAGCTATCGTGGAGAGAGGCTTATTCTGCACTTGCTTCTGAAGGGCAAACCAGAATTACCGTATTTTTCACTCTATAAGACGCACCAGACCATAAGATGCACCTAGTTTTTGGAGGAGGAAAACAAGAAAAAAAATATTCTGAATCCCAGAAGCCAGAACAGTTAGCTGCGCAGCCTGCATTCACTCCATAAGACGCACACACATTTCCCCTTACTTTTTAGGAGGGAAGTGTGTCTTATAGAGCGAAAAATACGGTATGTGTGTTTTATTAAATGTGCACTAGCCAATTTGGGTATAAAGAAGGGGTAGGTAGGAGTCCTTTTTCCTATCAAAGCAAGTGCATGGCAGACCCAGGCTGGGGTGAGAAATAACTTAAAGCACCTGAGTGTGGCAAGCAAGGCTTTCAGTTTCCACACCACATCCCAATGCTCAGTTTGATATACAAAGGAGACCCTATTGCAACTATGCTTTTGTCAAATAGGGAAGGATGCCTTTAAGAGACATATGCTCTCCTTGGTCCTCAGAGTAAATGGTGGGAAAAGCCCCGAGGACACGACGATCTGCATGGACAGGTGCCATGAATCAGCCCTGAGAAAGCAGTCAGCCGCCTCCATCAGAGCTGGCTCCAAAGCCTCTTCCCTTTGGCTCTGCTTGGACTACAGCTGAGCGACACCTTTGCCAAAAGCCACAGCTGCCGTGGTTAAAGCGAGGGAGCTTTTGGGAAGAGGGATTGTGAAGAGAAGGGGTTGCGCATGTGTAGGAGTGAGTGTGAGTCTTGCTTGTTGTAAGTCACAGCTTCCTCCCTCCTTCAACACTTCTTTAGCCAAGTTACCGTAACTGCTGTACCATTCTTGGCAAGACAAGGAGAAGAGACAGGTTGAATCCATGCAAATACAGGGGTCAAACATTAGCAGAACATCCCACCCCAACTAACTGTAAACTCTTGCAGGTAGTTGAGAGTAAAGGCTATTATTTCACATAGGATGGAATCCCCACATGGAAATGTAACTGAGCTGAGTGCATCTTTCCTTCTATCTTCCTTGGCTCCCCTGGCTTTCATTGCCTCCCTCAGTGTCTAATCTGAGTGCCTCAGGGCAGCAGAATCTATCTTTTTTGCTTGTTATTGTGTAGACCACCATGTACTCTGATGATGTCATCTAAACAACAACTTGTGGGTTCCCTGAATGTAGACTATCTGAGCTGCATACATGTGCTTGAAAGCCAAGCCTAGCAGCATCTTCTCAGCACATTTATGCCAGGTATTTTTGACCTGTTCATCTCCTACATTGTCCCCACTTCCCCCAAGGAAAATGTTGCATTACTTTTCTATTGGCCTTTTGGTGCCTGTTATTATGATGATTATTTTATTATTAGGCTGTCTGTCATTATGCGTTTTACCATGTTTTTATTATGTTTTTTATAATTGATGTTCTGTAATGTATTTTTAATGTACACCGCCCTGGGACCTTTTAGTAAAGGGTGGTATATAAACTGAATAAATAATAAATAATGATAATAAATAAAAATATTGATGAAGACATTCCTCTTTCAACAAGTCTTCTAAAATCTTTATCCAAGTTGGAATCTGTCCCGGATACAAATTGCTCTTGTGACTGTGTTTTAGACTGCTTTTATATTTATAGTTGTTGTTTTTATTAAAAAAGGTTTTTATATGTGATTTATTTTTAAAAAGTGTTTTTTAGATTAAAATGTTGTATTTGTAAATTGCTTTGGGATGCTTCATGAGAAGCACTTCAACAACGACATAAATGACCAAACCTACACTCAACCTTCATGCTTGATCCATACCTCTTTTCAATGATGTTTTCAACTCTTACCTCAAGCCGGTGAGAGATCTCAGCCAGCTTGGTGATGGAGGGTTCCTTGTAAACAAACTCTTGTTCATCCAAATCCCCAAACTTGCAGCCATAAAAACCAACTCGGAAATACGTTCCAAACATTCTCTTAAGTGATCTGCATGGTAAGAGTTAGGATAACCGCAACACAAATCAGGCAGGTAACTTGAATGCTGACTCTAAAGCCCCAGCAAGCATGGCTTACTAAATCAACCACCCAAATACCTGCCCTATTCCCAACCACTTCTCTCCCTGGAGACTTCCATATGCACTATGGGTGAATCTGGTGCTTGAGATCCAGGAAGCCTACATTCATGTTCCCACTGTCACTGAGTCCATAAAGAACCAACTCAATGACCACTGGGTTCACAATGTGCTTTAGTGATCTTTGCATGGGGTTAAATCACAAAATCTGCACCTGTGACCCCACCTGAAATATAGTTTCTACAGTTCTAGAATCTCCCCTGAAGCCTCCACCCCAATTCCTGTACAGTGGTACCTCGGGTTACAGATGCTTCAGGTTACAGACTCTGCTAACCCAGAAATAGTACCTCGGGTTAAGAACTTTGCTTAAGGATGAGAACAGAAATCGTGCTCCAGAGGCGCAGCAGCAGCAGGAGGCCCCATTAGCCAAAGTGGTGCTTCAGGTTAAGAACAGTTTCAGGTTAAGAACGGACCTCCGGAACGAATTAAGTACTTAACCCGAGGTACCACTGTAAGGTGAAAGTAGTTCTCCTTAATACACACACAAATGAACCAGACCACTGCTCCCCAAGACAAAATTTCAAGAAGTGGACTCCAACTTACCAAATCAGGCCAGCAGGACCACAAGCAGATGGCAAAGTTGAAAGAGAAGCAAAATAAGAAAAAAGAAGTTAGAAAGAGTACGGCAGCTACTGGAACACAGCAACTGTCAAAAGGGGGCGGGTAAGTGGAGGGCAGCTGGACTATTTCCATTTTTTGTTGTTGTTCTACAAAGTTCAAAATACCACCTCATCCCTAACAGCCGCTGCAATCCCTATGACTATGTGCAGAAAATTCTCTCCAGAGATCTCTCAGTTGTACTGCAGAAATATCATTACGGGCTGCGTGCTATTTCCCCCCCTCTCCCACCATACTCCCTGTCCAAATTGGTCGGACAGGTCTCTGCAGCAGGAGCACAACCTGATATACCACAACAGATGTTTGTACTGCCATGGCTAGTACCCACAATAGCGCTGGTGATGAGTGGCACACCCTCCGATACTGATACATGCAATGCCCGAAGAAGTTGTGCCGGCTTCTCTGGGTCTGGAAGAAGTAGGTGCAATTAAGCAAAAGCATTCCCTCTCACAACTACAGTTATCAAGGCATTGCTGCTAGATCAGGGCTACAGCCACAGCAATGGTTAGAGGACCTTGCTTCCATTTCTGCCCTAGAAATGACTGCCTGCACACAGCCCAAAACTGAACGAAATTGCCCCCTCCACAGCATCATCTCTATTTCAAACACGCTCTGAACATCTGCTTGACATTTATGGAACCACTTCTCCTGAAAATTTATCAGAGTCCTTTAAGAACAGGCCCGTCTTACCCATAGAGGCTAGTGGGGCGGGGCGCTAGGGCACCAAGTTCTGGGGGGCGCCAGGCGAGAGTCCGGGGAACACCGAACAAGCGCGCTAAGTGAGTGAGGGTGTGTCAGCTGCTCCAGCCGAGTGTCGGCTCAGGTTTTTCCTTTTTAGCCTGCAGGCGCCAAATTCTGCAGGACGCCAGAAGGCTAACAGGGGAAAAACTGAACCGATGCTCGGGGAGCGGTGCACATACCCTCACCCGTTCAGCACAGGCCAGCTCGCTCAGTGTGCTGCCTACCGTGGCACGAAGCAGCCAGTTGAGCCGGAAGGCACAGCATCCAGCCTCTGCCTCTTCCCCGCAGGAGGAGCCGCCCTCCAGCCACTGCCCGCCTCCTCCAGCCCTAAAAAAAGGTTGAGAACTCGGGGGGGGGCACTGGAGGGATCTTTGCACCACAACGCCGGATATGATTAAGACAACCCCGTTTAAGAAGCACTTGGTGACTGAGCTGGAGCTGTTTAAATCACTTCTATTTTAATGTTTCTGAGATATTCTATTACCTACCTCGAGCTTTCAGGGCAGTGGCAGGAGGACACCAATAAGTGGTGTCTTGGGGGCCCCTCCATGGCAGGTGGCTGGCTTAGGGACCCACAGACACCCTCATGCCTCCTCTCCCACATCCAAATCCCAGCACCTTTCACTCCTGGACTCTTCCATGCATAGCACTTTCTCTCTCTCCCTGGAAAGTGCAGAGAGATCTGGGTTTGGAAGGCTTTGGCAGCCTATGAAGATCTTATGCAGACTTGTCTGCTAAATTGCATGGTGTGCACATGGGGAAAATGCATTAATGATGCACACTATGCAACAGAACCCCACATAACTAGAACTAGACCCAGCTGCTGTGCCTCAAGGCTCCCTTAGGGCCACTTCCTGGCCCCTCTGCTACAGCCTAAACTGAGGCTGTTCCTGATCCCCTGATTCCTTGCCAAGCAAAGGCATCAGTGGGCTTTAGAATGGTGTCTTCCATTTTCAGACCACTTCGGATATTACAGAGCACGACGTACTGTATTTTTCGCTCTATAACACGCACCTGACCATAACACGCACATCGTTTTTAGAGGAGGAAAACAAGGGAAAAAACATTCTGAATGAAACAGTGGATGTATCATTTTTGTGCTTCATGCTGTGGCCACAGACATGTGATCTGATGGTGAATTTGGGGTGACCCAATGCAAAAATCCTGATAATTCCTGTGGATCCATGCTTTGTAACCACGTTTTTGCACCATTGCAGCCCCAGGCAACAGTGGGTGCGTGATTTTTTGGGTGCAGGCTGTAGCCATGGACATGCTATGTGATCTGATGGTGAATTTGGGGTGACCCAATGCAAAGATCCTGAGGATCCATGTTGATCTATGCTTTGTAACCACATTTTTAAGTGGGGAGCGAAGGAAAAACAAAGAAGGGACATGAGAGGGGTGTGCAGAGAAGCAGCTGGCTAAGAAATGCTGGAGAGGGATTTAACGGGTGGGAGGCCAAAAGTTCCCCCCCAAGCCAGCCATCCTCTCTCTCTTCTCTCTCCTCTCTCTCTCTCCTCCCTCTCCCTCCCCCACTCTCTCTCCCTCTCCCCCAGCAGTACCGGAGCACAGAGACGACACTTTCCCCTCTGCTTGCCTGGAGGGGAGGGGCTTTCCCTGCTCTTTGTTCCGTTTCAGCAATCACAGCAACGAAACAGAGGAAGGTGGGCAGTAAGACCCTGAGGCAGAATACAGGAAAGCTGCCACTTCCTCTTTTCAGGTTTCCCTTCTCCGTGAAGAGCGATTTGACTTTTGCTTGATTTTTTGGCTCCAGGGACCACACATTCGCTCCATAACACGCACAGACATTTCCCCTTCCTTTTTAGGAGAAAAAATCTGCGTGTTATAGAGGGGAAAATACGGTAAATGTTCAGAGCGCGATGTAAGAGTGTGTCTGCTCTGCAATGGTCATATAGAATAGCTTCACTGAAGTCCAAAATGAAAGCAAAGAAGACTTGCATGGTAGTTAAAGATGGACTAGCGTTCTCCACTATTCGTGCATCTCAATATCGCCACGTGATAACATGCATTTTCAGAGCACAGGTAGGATAAAGTTACTTCAAAACCAGTGCTTGGGGGGAAAGAGAAAGCTTGGGTAGATTTCCCTGTGGTCTGTATGCACTAGAAAAGGAAGCTGTACTGGTCTCAGAGGTAGGCTGTGTCAGCTAATGTCTATGCCAAGTATCCAGGCCTCAGTGCAGGCAAGATTTTAATCCAGTGGTTTGAAAAGCAAGTATCTTGAGCAGAGGGACCAAGAGGTAGGTAGACAATTCAACCAAAAGAACAGAGACATAGCCAGGTGGCATCTGCCAGCTGTAAGTTACCCAGACTGAGGGAATGAAACAAACTTTGAAGCAAGCAGTGGCTTGGGATTAGCTCTCCAGAATGGCCCTGATCCCTAAAGACCTGGAAGATTTTGGTATGTGGAGTTAGCATCTCCATATGGACCACCTCCAATTCTCTTATCTGTCCAGTGACAGTAAGAAACAAAGAATTTATCTACTCGGCTCTTGTTCTGAGTCCCCACAACACCCAACAATGTAGTGTTTTTGTGATACTAAGAGGCTTAAAATGAGTGATGCTTCCCTTGTGGTCTATCTTTTCAGTGGAAAATCAGTTCTGAGACAGGTAAAAGCTAACAAATACCAAACAGGTTAAGAACGTTAGGAACCTCTATTCCTAAAATCCTTTGGAGCCACTGTAGAGGTGCATGCTACAATGTCAACACAGCACTTCACTGCCAAAAAAAACCATTCCTTCCATTCTTTCACACTGTGCATGTTTGTTTTGAGTGGGGTGTGTGGGTGCATCCATCTGGACACACACAAAACTCAGGATCGGGGTGCTGCTCTTAGTAATAAGACACGCTGGTGTACAAGTGTAATCTTTAAACCAGATGAAAGTTCTGCAAATACACTAAATTTGCTTTGAGTATTTTAGTAGGCGAAGATAAGATTGCTGAATGCAAAATACTGAACTGTCTGGGAAGAGGCCTTCCTACTCAGGGAAGATAATGCTTTGGGACATTTTAATTTATATTAAAAAGCCAAGAAAGCGATGTGGATGAAGAGTACCCCCCCCACAATACTACACTGGAACAATCCAAGCTGAATACTGGGAAGATTCAGGAGAGACAAAAGCAAGCACTTCCTCACACAGTACGTACTGTAGTTAAATCATGACATTCACTCCCACAAAATAGGGAGTTGGCCACCAACGTACGATGGCTTCAAAAGGGGATCTGACATATTCACAGGGAATAAGGCTATCAATGTCACTAGTCACGATGGCTATATATTATCTCTAGCATCGGAAGCTAGTATCTAGTCTCTTAATGACAGTCATTATGCCCTGCATGGGGCCTTCTTGAGAGTGGCCCCAGCAGGCTTCCCTGTTCAGAACAGCTTTTAAGCACCTTGTTATTACCCAACTATGGGAGGGCTGAACTGAATGTGATTTGAGCCATTCTGTACTTTGAAGTCATACTTTGATGTCTCCTTACTACATATATGTTTACCGCCTTGGCTCTGGTAAAGAGAAGTGCACATTGTAAGTCTGGGTGTAAATTTTCAAACAAGCAAACAACTTTATTATTTGCACTGCATTTTCTCAACCTGCTTAAATGGATGACACCTGGTGCTGGATCATTTATTAACTTTGCTTGACAAAGGACTGCAAAAGTAGAAGTCACAACGACCCTAACCTATTACCTTAACAAACCCGGCTATCCACTTGTGGATCTCATTATAGAGAAATACTTCTGAGCATACACTTCCAGACCCCCAAATCATATGGGATGCAGGGGGCAGGCCTCCGGGCAGAGGTCACCATCCCCAAGCAGCTGTTTTGAGAAATGGGGATGGGGAGAAGAGAATGGAAACGGCAGGGCAAGAAGAGTATGGCCAGGACAGCTCCTTCTCTCCACCCAACAACTGAAAGCAGCAAGTGAGCAGCAGGCACAGAGCTCTCCAGTTGCACACTATGCAAGGACCCACCAGCTGATGGAGGTGTCATAGAGATGCCGCAGGAAGGGCCTCAGCAAAGCAGCAGGAAGAGGAGCATGGACAGCACCAGCTGCAGGATATGTGGAAGTGGACAAAGGCCAGGGGCACAAATCTGCAGGGTGAGCTGGACCAATGGGACATGATGCTGGCTACCTGCCTGCCTCAGTCAGGTGTGTGTGGCTCTGGCGGTGTATGGGAACCCCCAAAAGGAAGGAATGCCACTCCCAACTATGATCTAAGGCAGTGGTTCTCAACCTGAGGGTCCCCAGGTGTTGTTGAACTACAACTCCCATCATCCCTGAGCTCTGGCCTTGCTAGCTAGGGGTGATGGGAGTTGTAGTTCAACAACATCTGGGGACCCACAGGTGGAGAAAGGCTGATCTAAGTCATTTATAGAGCTGTTTTCAGACCTCACAGAGCAGTTTAGATAAAAAAATTATTTTTTAAATGATAACAAAGAAACATTATTTCATAAAATAGAGAAGGCAAACCACTGCTTGTTGTTGTTGTTTATGAAATGTTGCTTCTGCTTTACCCCCTCTCCTCCCTGGGCAAGATGGAACATAGGAAGCTGCTTTATACTGAGTCAGACCACTGGCTCATCTAGCTCAGAAATGCCTGCACTGACCGGCAGCAGCTCTTGAGGATTTCAGGTAGGAGTCTCTCCCATCCATACCTGGAGATTCTGGGGATTAAACTTGCCACTTTTTGCTTGCAAGCCAGACACTCTATCACAGAGCGATGGTTCTGCATAAGCTCCTGGTGTGGCAACAGGAGAAGGAAGGGGCCACCGACGGCAGCTGGAGGGCAGTTAATAATAAATATAAGGCAAGGGCAAAACATGCTGCCCTCTGCAAACCTGTGCCATGGTGTGTTTCCTCTCCACTGGAAGACTGCCAGGATAGTGGGAGGACAAAGAGCTTGGCAGCACAAGCTTTTTCAAAGGGGCTGAACCTCCACAGGAGGCACACACTTTTTTTTTTGCTTGCTTTAGGTACTCTGCAGCACAGAAGCAGTTTAGGCTGTTCAATCTGCATCGCAAGATTCCTAGTTTCAAAGGATGGGCTTCTCTTGAATGGGGAGTCTGGCCACCTGTGCTTCCTGCTGAGAATCTATAGTACAGGAAGCTGCCACTCAAGAGACACATTCCAAAAGCACAAGAAAGCACCCTGTACCAACTGCAGTCTTGGCACAAGGCTTGTGAAAATATGAATGGAGTTCCATCACTTTAGTCATGGAACAAACTGACCGGTCCTAGCCTACACCAAACGTATTAACTGGAGGGGGCCCAGAAAAGACAGAGAGGGCCTTTGGGGTCTCTGCAGACAGGGTCAAGTCCATTCTCTTGGGCATTCCAGTAGGATTCTGCCACACAGTGGTGCTCCTTTCCCAGATGCTAGGCCCTCATCTGCAATCTTCCTTATAGCAAAACAGATATGTCTCATAAAGTGAAAAAGTAGACTGTTTTGCTGCTGCAAGATACAGCCTCCACACGTCCAGCAGGCCTTTTGGTAGAGTAGCCAGCCTCTAACATTTACAGCAAACATTATTCGTAAGAGTACTGTAGCGTGCAGGATAATGGCATAGATTTGGAACTATGATCCCGGATGGGACCATGAAACCGCACTGTTTCTGTCTATTTTCCCTGAGGATTGCTGCCATTTTGAGGTATGCACAAACATTTGCTTTGCTCAGCCTGCACAAGAAAAGTTCAGGGGCTCCCACTCTGGTGTCATTATCATTGATTAAATTTCCATATTCCCTTTCATCCAAAGATCACAGGGCAGCTTACAATATAGAAACACAAAAATACGTACCATAGCAACAAACAGAAACAATAACCACCACCCCCTGACAAACACACACACACACACACACACACACACACACACAGTTTAAAAGTTGCAGTAACTGCACCAACAATGCCAGCTAGAGGAGGAGTTTGGCCGTAAGTGCACAGAGGAGGGTGGAGATTACGGAAGCAACATGCACACTCACACAAACACTGACACAGAAAATGTAAGACATGATGCAGCCTACCTCCCAGCCAGAGGCCTGATTGACAGGACGGAGAGGACAGGAAGGGAACAGAGAAAACAGGAAGAAGAAGGTGGTTATTTATTTGTTTTTAAAACTCAGCACCCGTCTTGTCACAAGCCGATCACAGGCTAGGCCCAGGCATAACCCTGAATGGTCACAGGCCAATCTGAACATAACAATTCCTGTTCTTGTGAGCCATCCCAACCACTGCCAATTTCTTGAAGAAGCAAGCAGGAGATGGCACCATAATCCTAGCTCATTTCAAAGTGTATTCTACCATCATCTACAAGACCCAGCCACAAAGACTAGTACACTGCCAACCTGAGACCTTGAACACAACTTTGACCTTGGCCCAGGAGGGCAGGGAGGGATGTTTTGGTTTAAAATGCCACCTGCAATCAATATAGATCCATCAGCTCCCAATAGCTCTTCTCACCTTTTTGCAGGGTTGACACTGTCGGCATTTGACAGAATGCCCAAGTGAACCCTGTAAGAATCTGGAGCTCCCTGTTTAGCTCTAATTACAAGAACAGCGAGCCATAAGTTCTGGCTTGGCAGCATCCTCACTAGGCTCTAATCCTGTATGGAGCAAATCCTATAATTTTGGACACCTGGCTGCTCTATACCGAACCCATACTGGCACATTCCCCTCTCTATGATTCAACAGAGGGGTTTTTTTTGGGGGGGGATAGGCTATGGGTTCCAGTTCAGCAAGTGGGGTGCTGATGCTTTCCTCCTACTGTCACAAGGCCCTAGCGGACTTTATAGACTCCCATTGCAACTCTCTGTCTCATTCAACTGAGTGCATAAATAGCACCTCCACTATGAACACTGCCCACAGCATCTTGATTTACAGTATGCCAAAGCTCGGAACTCCCACAGCCCACAGACCCAAAGTTTCCCCTGCATAAAGGTTTTTGGGCTCTGACATTCAGACCGTTCATATTTCAGTCTCCAATCTGCCAGATTCACGTCACGTTTACTTATTTTGACATGCGTAACGAAATGGAACGTGAGAAGGACTTAGGCAACCATGGAGGAAGGAGAGCTTATGCTGGCTCTCTTACTTCCGCCATCGCCCTAACAAGGCATTGCAAAAAAAGGTCTACAGACCAGGAGTGGGGAATCTCAGGCCCCAGGGCTGAATGTGACCCTCCAGGAATCTATATCGGGCCCTCAGAACTCTTCCTAGGCCACGCCCCCTCTCCCCCGGCCACACCCCTCACTGGCTTTTGCTTCACACCCCAAGTGCTTTTGCCTGGCTGGAATATGTCATTGAATCCTTATAATGCCTCTTGATTGTCTGGATGGCAGAGACAGGTGGGTGCATTATGTATAGAAACTAGCCCACTGTACAAAGGTAAGATCTACATTTACTGCCTCCGACTGCACCCACCTCTTGTTTGCGGCCCCTAGAAGAGAATGTGGCCCCTGGGGGGGGGAGAATTTGGCCATTGGCTTGAAAAAGGTTGTCCAAGAAGCTGTACTCACTTGGCTGGTTATCTTGCTGAAGGCATCCTGAAGCTTGCCATGCAGCACTGCCAACTTCTTGAAGTCGCGGTTGGCTTCATGGATGGGGATGAGGATCTTGTAGACCTCGTTGACAGCCTCATAAAGCCCACCCTGGAGAGAGCGAGAAGGAATTCAGAAAGTCACTTCAGTCCGCAGGGAAGACCTAACATGGGGCTGCAGGGGTTAAGGCAGCTGGGCCACACACGGCTAGAACCTCACAGAGCCCCCAGTCAAGGTGGAGGCCTGTGTGGAAATATGCGAGCAGAGCTTGCCTGCAAAAGCTTTTAACTTTCATTGGAAGGCAGTTAAGTCTCTCCTAAGGGATGACTGCTATTATTATTATTATTATTATTATTATTATTATTATTATTATTAATTGAATTTATATATACCTGGAGGTCTCAGGGCGGCTCAGGGTTCACAGAATAAAATCAAGATATAAAACTTCCTTGTATGATTGGATTGAAGACTTATACAAACTCGCAACATATGAACAACTTGCATATAAATGTAGTCTTGCCATGGACAAATTCAATGATATTTGGAATCCATTCTTACAAATACTGTAATAGGTTAAGATCTGGTGAAGTACAATAACAACCTTGTAAAATATACAGTTTTGGTTCCCCCCCCCCCTTACCTTCTACGTGGGTTCTGTTTCTCATTTTCTTTTTCTCTCTTTTATTTATGTCTCACCATGTTTAGTACACATATAATTATGTACTTTTTGAACTTTCAATAAAGATTTTTTTAAAAAGATATAAAACCACAAAATAAATAATAAAAATGAAAACAACCCAATAGCCCCCCCCCAAAAAAAAACCCCACACATTTTTAAAAGGCATAGGATCAGATCAACCAAAGGTCTGGTTAAAAAGAAACGTTTTTGTCCAGCACCTAAAGGTGTATAATGAAGGAGCCAGGCGAACTTCCCTGGGGAGAGCATTCCACAGATGGGGAGCCACTGCAGAGAAGGCCCCTTTCTCGTGTTGCCACCCTCCGGACCTCTTGAGGAGGAGGCACATGAAGGAGGGCCTCAGAGGATGATCTCAGGGTCTGGGTAGGTTGATATGGAAAGAGGCGGTCCTTGAGGTATTGCGGTCCTGAGCCGTTTTGGTCCAATGGGGCAGGGGGAAGCAGCTAATTGTTACTTGTGGGTTACAACCAGGTTCCTACTTCTGCTTCTGGAAACAAACTGTATGAATTTACACTACTTCACACAAATGTTTATTTACAATCACCACCTACTGCAGCTTCATGCGTCAGGAGGTGGCTTTTGTGTGTGTGTGTTGTTTTAAAGGCAGTGTGGGAGGGGGAGAGAGGTCCGCGGTTCTCCACATACTTTAATTTTCACTGAAAACAGAGGGATTGAGATACCTGCAGGGAAACATAATTGGCCGCTTGCCTAAATGTATTACCGAGAAGTGGAAAAAGCAACACCCCTGAAATCAGAGAGCTCCTTCCCTGAGGAAAGGCACCCCAGATAAGCAGTGGTGCATTTAATGCTCTGCAAACTGAGCATCTGGAAACAATCAAAGTGAAGGAATGCAGCCAACGTGGGGAGAAAAGACGGCTGAAGCTTACAGAAAAACAGACAAAAGCAGAGATAGAAGAAAACAGGTGGGAAAGAATTTACAAGAATTGGCTGCTATGGGAAGGGCAGAAAACACAGCCTCTCCGTGACCATTCAAGTCCCACTCACCCACCCACCCACAATCCACACCATTCAGGTTTCTAAGCCATTTGCAGTTTTAAAAGGAAGCAGAAATTTGTGCACAAAAAGCTGTGTTCTATGGCGCTGGTGCCCAATCTCCAGGAGTCTAGACACCTGGGATTCAGCCGCCTACTGCAGCAAGAGAAGGCAGCTGCCACTCTTGAGCACAGGGAATGCTCTAGTACACTGAAAGTAAAAAGTTCAAGTTCTCACCATAGTAAAGGAGGAAGCCGCCTGCTCGAGCAACCCAACCAGCCCTTGCTCAGTGAAGTACTTTCCAGAGCAGATGCCCTCTTCATCAGGGGACAGGACGTCATCCGAGACAGCAGATTCTTCCAGCACGTTGGAAGAGATGTTCTTGGAAAAGGGCAGATGTTATTGTGGGGGAGGGGGAACACAGATCTTCTCACTCTTCCCTACCAAACAGCCTGTCAGTTGAACAAGGCAAGAACTCTAGGTCTCCAGGGCCTTAGGGAAGCAGAGATCTTGCTAGGGGCAGGGAACATCTGGGCATCACCCCAAGTTTTGGTTTAGGGGAAGGAGAAATGGGAGGTAGACCCTCTGTTCATTCATCTCTCCTGCAGGAAAGTAGGACTGGGGCTACAGGTAAGTACTGAAGCTAAGAAAGAACAGAGAAGAGCTGGTCAATGCCTTGATGCAGCAGACCAGTCTTTTTTGAAATGATGCCTTGGCTTTGCCCTTCTTCTTACCTGGAAAGTGACACAGCCCACAGGTAGGTAGCGGCAGTCCTCCAGCATACTCAGGTACTCGGCTACCAGGGCAGCGGAGTGCACCAGACACTGAGCGGCCTCTGCATGGTTCCCACGCTCAGAGTGCTTCGCTGCCATGTTCTGCAGCCAGGTCAGCCTCAGATCCGGTGATGTCTGGTACCCCTTGGCTATCCTAAGAGGCAGGTAATGAATGTTCAGGGACAGAAGTCCTGAGCTCCATGGCCGCCTTTGCTACTGACTCACTTTAAGGTGACTTGCTTCAGGTCAATGGAGTTCAATGGAGGTGCAGGTCAATTCTGTGTCCAGGGCAGCTGTCTACCAGCTCCATCTGGCATGCCAGCTAAGACCCTACCTGCCCACAGACTGTCTCGCCAGAGTGGTCCATGCTCTGGTTATCTCCTGCTTAGACTACTGCAATGTGCTCTACGTGGGGCTACCTTTGAAGGTGATCCGGAAACTACAACTGATCCAGAATGCGGCAGCTAGACTGGTGACTGGGAGTGGCTGCCAGGACCATGTAACACCCGTCTTGAAAGACCTACATTGGCTTCAGTTTGTTTCCAACCACAATTCAAAGTGTTGGTGCTGACCTTTAAGGCCCTAAATGGCCTCAGCCCAGTATACCTGAAGGTCTCCACCCCCATCGTTCGGCCCAGACACTGAGGTCCAGCTCCAAGGGCCTTCTGGTGGTTCTCTCACTGTGAGAAGTGAGGTTATAGGGAATCAGGCAGAGGGCCTTCTTGGTAGTGGTGCCCGCCCTGTGGAACGTCCTCCCATCAGATGTCAAGGAAATAAACAACTGTCTGACTTTTAGAAGATATCTGAAGGCAGCTCTATTTAGGGAAGTTTTTAATGTTGGATGTTTTATCGTGTTTTTAATATTCTGTTGGGAGCTGCCCAGAGTGGCTGGGGAAACCCAACCAGATGGGCGGGGTATAAATAAATAATTGTTGTTGTTGTTGTTGGACATGAGTGAGTGATGCACGAACAGTGGCTGTGTTTGTGTCATGGACATATACATATGCATCTCAATACATTTACATCAACACAAGGAGCAACAGACATTCCCCACCTCTATGATGTGGTCCCATTTGTATCAATGCTTTCTGCCTGGGTTGATTAAGCCTACAAACTTACACACATCCACCAAGAGATGAACGTTTGCAAGGCTCTCCCCAACCCCACAGCAATGTTACCACTTAGTGTTACTTTTTTCTTTAATATTCTCTAGAAGGTGTGCACTCCCCAGACCACCCTTTTCCAGCCCCAGAGTCCTTGGCCCCCTCATATGAAGAAGGTTCTCCTGGACAGCATAGCTATCTCCTTGGCTGTAAGGCTAGGTCACCCACTTCCATTACATGCCGAGTGGGAGCAAAAAGAGGAGCTCTCACCATATGCAACAGATGAGGCAGGTGTAAAAACAGGGAGAGATCTCATGCTGCAACAGGCTTGCCAACAGCCAATGAGTCTGTGAATGATCTGAGATATGAACCTTCTTTGTCTCAGGTGCCAACGCAGTCACGTTGGCTCCTGCATTTAGACACCCTCCCTTTGGGAAACTGAGGCTAAGAAAGCAAGCCTTGCTTGCCTCTGGGCCTTCCTGCCGCTTCCGTACCCAGAGCGCTGGCTACTGTCTCACCTGTACATCAGGTCTATCAACATCTCCGGGTCCTCCTGATGTTCCTTCATCTTTACTGTGTCTGTCAAGATCATGTGGAGGTTGAAGACGAGGTCTTGAACCTGGCCAGGGAAAAGAGGAAGCACCTTCTAAGTCACAAGCATGGAGAGCAGGAACAAGAACACACAATTGCCTCCATCAAGAGTGGGGATGCCGCAAGCACTCAGGTAAAGGCACTTGCGAAAGAGGACATCCCTGACGCAATACTTGCCGACAGGATTGAGATGGGCATAGCCCTGTTCACTTATGGGCTGTGTTTACCTTGAACCTGGTACCCACCCCCCAATCTGCCCACTTTTCAGGAGGAGAAAGAACAGCAAAACTAGGTCTATAATTAATCTCTTGCATTTTCATCACATTTGGTAGACACTGGCTTAGCTGTATCTAAGACAGAAGTAGCCATTTCCAAATTTAGATAGTCTAACCCAGGCATAGGAAAAACTCGGCCCTCCAGATGTTTTGGGACTACAATTCCCATCATCCCTGACTACCGGTCCTGTTAGCTAGGGATGGTGGGAGTTGTGGTCCCAAAACATCTGGAGGGCCGAGTTTGCCTATGCCTGCTCTAACCATTGCCCAGGGTATATAACCATTTTAAGCAATTTTCTTTCAGGTTCCTACCAGAGGCAGATTTAGGGGAGCGTGACCAGTTTGGTGCCGCCAGAGACACAACTATGGTTTACAATGGAACACGAGAGAGAGGGGTGCTGAATTTTGGTGTCACACAGGGTGCTGCTGAAATTTGAGACTCCAAGATTCACCACTGTTTCTATTGAATACAGTGGTACCTCAGGTTAAGTACTTAATTCGTTCCGGAGGTCCGTTCTTAACCTGAAACTGTTCTTAACTTGAAGCACCACTTTAGCTAATGGAGCCTCCCGCCACACCGCCGGAGCACAATTTCTGTTTTCATCCTGAAGCAAAGTTCTTAACCCAAAGTAATATTTCTGGGTTAGCGGAGTCTGTAACCTGAAGCGTATGTAACCTGAGGTACCACTGTACTGTAATACTGGTTCAAGAAGAAAGATCGAAATTTTCTGATATAGGAGGTGATCATTTTTTTCTCATTTAGGCTTACACTTTATATTTCCATAGGATTCTACAATATGACTATACAATATGTATATTGTTTTGTTTTTGGGGAAACATTTCTATTTCCTTGGAAAATTAATGTTTCAAATTTAGTAAACAGTCTTTTAGTACAGTATCACATGTCAGTTTTTTAAATAAATATTTTTATTTAAAAATAATAGCAAAATGTTTGCTTTAGTTTGAATATACGTTGTTATCTGGTAAATAAAGCATCGTAATATTTTAAAATAAAACCAATATATCTATCCAGTGCTTTTTCTGGGGGTACACAGGGGTACGCACACCCCTAAACATTTTGTGAATCTTTGTACTTTTGTCCATTTATTTATTTTCCCCGATTTGAACTACAGAATGGTGATTTTCTTGAGTCAAAATGAGAGTACCCCTAAACATTTTTTAAAGAAAAAAAGCACTGTATCTCTCACACATGTATTCTTGAGAAATTGGAAAAAATGCCTACAAATCCCAATGAAGATTAAATTGTTCACAATTAACTGCAGAAGCTGTAGAAGAGACTGCCAGAGTCAGAAGGTATCAGCTCAAGCCACAACCCAACTTCCAGAGGCCCCTAGTCTGATGTTTATGCGTCTGCCATCCAATGTACCTGCTCAGCAAATGTGGTTTCTCGCAGCTCCGGGTCTTCCTCGGCATAGGTCAGGATGGTCTTCAATGAGCGCCGCAAGTGCTCCTCATTGAAGTTCTGTGACGTCCCCACAAGCGAGGAGAGTGACATGGTGACTTGCATCTTCACTCGGGCAAAGTTCTGTGCAAGAGAGACGCGGCAGGAGTCAGCAAGGCAGGGCAAGCCAGAAAGATTATTCAAATCCTGAGCCAAATAAAAGCAGAGGCGATGCTTGGAATGGATTCTGCAGAACACAGTTCTAGAGTGGACTGATTTAAATTAAAAATCACCTAGAAAAACGGCTAGTTCAGAACACTTTAAAATTTAAGTTTCCCACTGGTATTATTTCCTTTAAAATGCGAATAGTAATTGCTTGGCCAACTGTTAAAACTAAAGAGAAAGTTAAAATTAAAGAGAAGGTTTACACTATTTAGGAGAGCGTGCTTCTTTTCAGCATTGCTGCTCCTTGTTTCATTTCCACTCCTCTTTCCTATACACATGCCTTTCTCTAAAACCCCACCCCAGGAATACAAGTTAGATAACAATCCAAAACTGTTGCTTTTGGCAACTCATGGCAAACACTTTGAAGAAGCTGCCAGGGATGGTCATGCACATAAGGCTCTGAGAGAAGCAGGTGTCTGGAAGCGTCTCAGAGGGGATCCTCTCCCATTTCCCATAGCAGCAACTGAAGGATATCAGCAGGGGCATCCAGGCTGGTAAAAATGTATTATTTTTATTTACATAACGCCATCAGTGTACAAGGGATGCGGGTGGTGCTGTGGGTTAAACCACAGAGCCTAGGGCTTGCCGATCAGAAGGTCGGCAGTTTGAATCCCCGCAACGGGGTGAGCTCCCGTTGCTCAGTCCCTGCTCCTGCCAACCTAGCAGTTCAAAAGCACATCAAAGTGCAATTAGATAAATAGGTACCGCTCTCACAGGAAGGTAAACGGCGTTTCCATGCGTTGCTCTGGTTCGCCAGAAGTGGCTTTGTCATGCTGGCCACATGACCCGGAAGCTGTACGCTGGCTCCCTCGGCCAATAAACCGAGATGAGCGCCGCAACCCCAGAGTCAGTCACGACTGGACCCTAATGGTCAGGGGTCCCTTTACCTTTACATCAGTGTACGCTGCATTTTACAGAGTAATCGAATCACGAGACGGGCCCCTGGCCCCAAGAAGCTTAACAATTTAAATTTTGACAAAGGTGGTGGAAGAGAACAGAGGCAGGGAAAGAGTTTGTGCAACGTGGCAATGCTGCAGGGATCAATGAACTGATTGAACCTACCCGGACCCTGAGATCATCTTCTCAGGGTCCTCCTTCATGTGCCTTCTCCTCAAGAGGTCCGGAGGGTGGCAACACGAGAATGGGGCCTTCTCTGCAGTGGCTCCCCGTCTGTGGAATGCTCTCCCCAGTGAAATTTGCCTGCTGCCTTCATTATACACCTTTAGGTGCCAAGCAAAAACGTTTCTTTTTAACCAGGCCATTGATTGATCTGATTGACATCCTATGCCCTTTTAAAATGCGGCTTTCTTTTTTTGGGGGGGTGTTATTGGGTTGTTGTTTTTATTTTGATTATATATATTGTGGGTTTTATGTTGATCTTTTCTGTGAACTGCCCTGAGACCTCCAAGTATAGGGCGGTGTATAAATTCAATCAATCAATCAATCAATCAACAACAACAACAACAACTGCTTGGACTCTGGTGATGGCTCAGGTCTGCTCCCAGGAAGCACCTGTCAGGGGACTGCCATCGGAACAGGGGAGGGAGGCAGGGGGATACAGAGGGCCTCCGATGCTTCTGAGGAGCAGCTCGTCCTCCAGCGGTGGGGAAAGCCACACCTCCAGTGGAGCAGAGAGGGAAGGGGGGTAGCCAAGCGAGGAGAGGGCTCGAAGATGCTGCTGAGAGCCCAAGTGCCTCACCTAACCTGGCTGGCCAGGAGGCAGACACGCCACTTCCGTCGCCTAGCCTGCACAGAGGGGTGAAACGAAATGAGGGGAGGTGGAGATTTGGGGTGTTTAAGTTCTTATGTTGGGGGAGAAGCCGGAAGAGGCCACTCCCGGATTCTGCAAGTGACTAAAACGGACATGAACTTGTTGGTTCTGCACTGTAAATAGTTTGTACCAATAAAACCTGTAAAAGACAGGTCGGAGTCTTGCCTGGTTACTCACGAGCAACCACCCCCTGCATCTGACAGCACCCTTGCAGCAGAAGAGACAGAGGGCAGCTCTAGCACCTCCTTACTCCAATGAGCACTTACGTTGCCAATCTCGAAGTTCTGTCGCATGAGAAGGTACAGCGAGGTGCTTGCATGGGTGCGGATGATGCCCACCTTGCTACTGCAATGGCGGAGAAGGCGCAGACACAGGTCAGCACACAGTTCTGTGTCCTCCTCGAAAAGCATTTCGGGAAACTGCAAGCAAGAGACTGGAGTTATTCTATCTAACAATGATAATACTGGCCTTCCTATGGACTGCAAGGAAGGCAATGGATAATAGATGCATAAAACCCAACAGGTTGATAATCTTAAAAGCAAGGTATTAATGCACTCAAGAGCGGTAAGATTTAATATCAAAAGCCTCTGTGAATCAGGTTTTCACCCAACCCTTGGAAGTGTCTGTCAGGCCCTTTTACAGAGGTTGTTCCAGATCTGCAGTATCATAATTAAGTAGACTCAAATAATAATGGGCTGGCTTTGGTCTCTATCTTTCAAGGCTGAAATTAGGCATTTATTCAATAATCCACCTTGGCATGGAAACAGCTTATTTCTGGAAAAGCAAGGAAGAGTTTACTTTGGGAAAGTGGGGTGATAGAATATGGCAACTGCTGGCTGCTGACATTACCCTTTGGCAATGCTGGCTCACGAGGGGTGAAATAGAATGGGGTGCCTTTTCAGATGACCAGGGGCCATTTGTCTCACAAATCAACTCCAGTCCTGGGGAATGCAGGCCCCACAGGTGGAATTTTTGAAGAATACATTGGCTTGGTTAACAAGTACAGGAGGCGTGAAACAGGTCTTACATCTGGACACCATGTTTTGAAATATATTTTGGAAACATGCATTGTGAAGTTGGAGGATTCCCAGACATGGCGTATATGCTCTGTAGGACTGAGGTTGGTATTTATATTCTGGTTTTATATTTGTGTGTGTTTGTTTGTTCTCTCTCTCTCTCTCTCTCTCTCTCTCACACACACACACACACACACACACACACACATAAGTAAGCAGACTCTACTGTGGACAATCTCAGCAAAAGGGGGCACCCTGGAGAGAAAAAGCCCCTTCAGCAGAGTTAAAGGTTGGAGAACATGAGCAGTGACAGACAGAAGCTAACAACCTGAGGGGTAGATAAGTCCTTCTTGTTCCTGAAGTAGCCAGGCTCCACTTACAACCAGAGCTGGTGAGCTTGGATGCAGACAAGTCAATAGTCTCCCTGCACTGCCTTCTTAGGAGCAGAGCAAGATGCTTTGCAAAATCAGCTGGAATTCAACCGCAACATTTACATCTGCAGAGTTTTCCCAACCAAGCAGCACTCACCTTGCTGACTAGCGCCCTCTGGGTAGCAAAGCAGTGTTGCAAGAAAGCTGCACTGGGAGTGCAGCCCATTGTGTGCAGAAGCACCCTCAGCACCCCGCCAAGGACACTCTCCTTGGCTTCCGATAAGATCACAGTCTGTGGAGAGGAAACCGGGGAGGAGAGGGAGGTAGAGAAAGAAAGAAAAAATGGGTGGGAAATTGTACTCAAATTAGGAACCCCTCCATCAAAGAATGTGTAGCCCCATTTGTAACATGGTGAGGCTGTCACAATTGCTTTATCCAGGCCAGACTTCATCTTGTACCAAGAAGCCTATGGAAGTCACTGGGACATGAGTGGCCGAGGCAGAGCTGTGACTATGTAAAACGAACAAGCAAAGCTTATCATCTGCATGCCTTAGGTGTTCCGCTGCCTCTGCTAAAGATGGCAAAGGACCAAGAGCTATGCTGACCAGTGAATTCCAGCCCCCGGACTACCTAGGAGAGCGCAGCTCAGCATAACCGCAACAGAGAGGATCAAAACAGCCAAGGACAAAGAAGACAGATGTGGCTCTCAATGCACTCCAAGGAAACACTTTATCAATAACAGAAAAACTAGAGACAACTTTGTCCTCCAGCTCGCCAAATCAGACTCTGCGTATGGAAGCTGGATGAGAAAAGTTGTCTCCAGCAGTTTTCATCAAGAAACTGAATTTTCCTTCTGGGTGTGGCTTGTGAACTGTGAGGGGGTGGGGAAGCTCCTACAATTCAGAAGGTACCGCTGCAGAGCATAGATAAAAGATGCAATCTTCACCCTGGAAGAACAAATTAATCCCAGAGCCTTGCTCTAGCGGGTGGGTGCAAGACTGGAGTCTCCATCAGATCCTACCTGCACAATGATTTCTAGGGTGTCCAGCACCACCATGTTGGCTTCTGTGGCCATATTCCCATCCACCAGAGCCTCATGTTCCATCTCTTCCTTGGATCTGAGCAAGGGACAAAAAAGGGCGTGGGTTTAAGACATTTAGAGTCACCAGATGCCAATCCTCGCTTGCATGGTTATTCCGGTTTTCTGCTCACTGTGCTGCTCGCACAGGCCTGCCAAAGGTTGGAACTACACTAGGGACATGCAAAGCCAAAGTCGTTTGGCTTCCATTAAACAGGTAGCTGGTTCCTGCAACTAGCTCTTGCCTAAGATCAGGAGCAGCCCCAAGGGGCCTGCAGCACCTTCTCTATAAGGGTGGGAAAGCTGGGATATGGGATGATGGCAAGCCAATGAGAAGGAACTAAAAGCACATCTCTATCTTGGACTCAGAATCTTTATCCCACACAGTCTTTTTCTCTATATGCTTTCCAACACAATCATGAAAACTAAAACCTGAGTTAATTCTTTTTATAAAAATAATAATAATCTAGTAGTTGCCCTGAATGCCATGTGATCATGGCTATATGACAAACCAAACACACTAATTTATGATTAAGGCACTGCACACAACTCACACACACACCATGAGAGTCACTGTGTGTTCAGGCTCAAGTTTGGTTCCTGTTCTTGGGTAACTGTCTGCACTGTGAGGATTGTTCTATAGCTTACTGCTTGCGGTTTGTCTGGAGGAAATAAACCATGAATCTGGATTTCAGTGTTAATGCTATGCTAAATAATGGCTTCATTTGCAACAGCAACAGGGCGGAGGGGGAGCAAAGTGGCCACCGTCTTCTCTCTATTATTATTATTATTATTATTATTATTATTATTATTATTATTCCCAAAGGTCTCAGCAGGTTCACATAAACAGATCACGGTATATAAAATAAAAATAAAAGGGTTGCTCATTTGCACTCAGCCAAGGTTTTGGTAAGTATTAAAGGTAAACCAGTCCAATGTGTGAATGTAAACAAGGTACTACCTATCCCCTGATCCCCCCCGGAGTTGCCCACAAACGCACTTGTCCACCTTGTCCGAATTCTGCCTCCAATGGGCAATATTCTTCCTCCAGCGAACATTTTCTTGGTTTCCAAATGGACTCCGCTCTGTGTAGAAAGGGGAGAAAGGGCATGAGTACCATGACAGATCTGAAAACTCCTTCCCACCAAGCCTAGTTCCAGTAACCGAAAGCCAGCCCTTAACGTCTGAAAGATGCTTCAGCTAGAGTGAGCCTTCAAGGGAATGAATAGAGTTCTCTTCTGATCACACAGATGGTACTCCAAAGAGTTTATATCTGCTTACTTCCAGAAGCTTGCTTCTGGAGACTACAGAAGCAAGCTCATGATAAACAGCCCCACCCTCTCTCATTCTCACCTCGGCTGCGTCGCACCATCTCCTGGCGTGCCCCAATAGTGCCCAGGATGGCTTCCTCCAGTCGTGCTTTCATGTCCAGAGACTTCTTGAAGGTCAGGCTGTTGATGCGCTCAAAGGCCTTCTTGCCCTGTGGATGGCAGTGAGTCTAAAAGTCCTCGCTGCTAAGCAAGAGGGGGAGTTTGGCTGCAGGAGCAAAACCTGGCAGGCCCAGAACTCATAGAACAGGCAGGCAATTGCTCACTGAAGAAAGTGGCCGGGTGCTCATTTCAACAGGCGCTGAGCAGTGGGATGTGAAGTCCTTTCAGCTTTTACCATGGAGAATGCTTCTGGCTAGGGCCACATCAGCCCCAAATACAATAGGCAAGAATTGTTAAGCTGCCACACTTCACATCTGGCAAAGAGGTATTTTGGGGCTCCAAATGCAAGGTTCCCACCACTCCCCATTTTAGCTCATAGCCAACAACAGCACTATATTGAACTGAATTGCACTACTGGACTTCACAATATCTTATAGGAATGGTTTCACTATAGACTGTCAGTGGCTTCTTACATTTAGCTTCCTATTCAATCTCCACGTTAGAAGAATTCTTACAGCAGGGGTGGGAAGAAGGTAGATCAGGATCTACTGGTCGATCTCTGTGTGGCATGAAGCAGATTGGCAAGGATTTATGCCCCACAATTTAACAACAACATGACTCTACCTGCTGAAATGGATCGTGGTGTGCTTAGATGGGTGTGAACCAGGGGGTGCATTTTGTATATGGAAGGACTGTGAACTTGACTCAGTTCTGGTACTCGGTACAAGTTCCTGGACTTAGAATTCTTTAACTGAAGTGTATGTCTTTTGCCTGGGACGCAGGTGGCGCTGTGGGCTAAACCATAGAGCCTAGGACTTGCCGATCAGAAGGTTGGCGGTTCGAATCCCCATGACGGGGTGAGCTCCCGTTGCTCGGTCCCTGCTCCTGCCAACCTAGCAGTTCGAAAGCACGTCAAAGTGCAAGTAGATAAATAGGTACTGCTCCGGCAGGAAGGTAAACGGTGTTTCCGTGCGCTGCTCTGGTTCACCAGAAGCGGCTTAGTCATGCTGGCCACATGACCTGGAAGCCAATAAAGCGAGATGAGCGCCGCAACCCCAGAGTCAGCCACGAATGGACCTAATGGTCAGGGGTTCCTTTACCTTTATGTCTTTTGCCTAAGGCTCCAGCAGGTGAACTCTTAGTGTTCTATTAAACAACAGAGAGCTCCTACAGCCTGAAGCCTGTCTGCTCTTGCCTTAAGACACCCAAAGTGTTGTAGAACCGCTGTTTTCTAAGGCTCTCCTTGGAAGGAAACGCAGCCTCTGACTGTTGCAGTCAGAGGCTGCATTTCTCTTGCCTCTTCTCCGCTCTTTGCTGGCCACATTCTGTCAAAGACTGCATGCTTTGAGGTCTGCAACCACTAAGGAGTTCGTCTAGGTGAGGAGTCCAGCCAGCTAAAGGTGGGATTCCTGCGTTCTGTCCCCCAAAGTCCTGGGAAGGGGAGGAGGGAAGCAGGGGAGCCATGTTTGGTTCTCTCAGCGCCTGGACTCTAACCTTATACTCGAAGCAAGAGACACAGAGGTAGAGCAGGTCAAGGAGACGGTTCACATGCAAAGCAGAGAGGTCAGCAAGCCAGCGATGCAGCACAGCTCCATCCGCATTCTTCAGTACCCACAGGAGACACACCAGCAGGTTGCGACTTGCTTCAGCTGACAGCATGCTATACTGGCGTGGTGGCTGCAAACAAGCAAGAGATGAGCTCAGCCCAGCTCCACTTGACCCAGACTCCCCACTCCCCCCTCTCCCAACTAAGCGTGCCAAATGGCACAGTGCATCAAAGAAGGCAGAGGCAGCAGTGGTGCCCTGCTGCTCTCTATTCATAAGGACCTCCTTTCCTTTGGTTTTGAGGAGCAATGATTTGGGCCCACACTACCTAATGATATCACTATGTCGGAATAGGAAATGCAAGTAGTAGCTGGATGGAGTTTTTAAATTGGCTGCTTCATGCAAGTCCTTGTGTGGGTGTGGGTGTTTGTTTTTATTAAAGGATTTTCAGTTATAAAAGAGGATGCCTTCACCCCAGTATGGCTGTCCTTTATTACATACACAGCCCAACAAGATAGTAATATAAACCTCGCAACAGCATACAAATTGATAAGGCTTATCTGACCCAATAACTGCCCCCCTCACATAAACAAACAAAACTCACTGCAATCAACTAATAGTTTTTGTACTGTTAAATCTCCCATTGTGTTTGAGATCAACCATGTTACAAATCTGAACACACAGAGACTTTCCTGCTGAGGACTGAGAGCTGTATGCTCCTGGGTTCATTCCACAAGTTCCCAATAGAAATGGCTCCCTGCTTAAATGGGAGGCTGTCCAATACCAGGTATCATTATCACTGAGAATTCTGTCTCTAAAGCTGAGATAGGGAGCTTATGGTCTTCCAGATGATGTTAGATTCATCACCCCTGACCACTGGGCTGAAGGGAGGGAGTTGGGAGTCCAACAGCACTGGAGAGCTATACAAACCCTCATCCCCTTCTAATGTGCAAGTATTCCCCACCCAAGTTTCGGTTTCGTTCTCTAGCCCCAGAGGGCAGTGTACACTCACCACTGATGGCATTTGGAAGACAGTGGACCGATGAGCGTGGGGCAAGGGAGAGCCAGCAATGGCCATGGCAACTGACTGGCTAATGGTGCTGCCATCCCCATCGCCGTCCTCAACTGTCACAGAGGCCAGCCGCCCTCGCTGGCTGAGGTTCTCTGTAAAGTTGAATTAATTGCCCAATAAGGACCGATAAGGGAAGAAAAGATAGCCCAGCCACCGCCACCACCCAGTCAATAACTTTGGATACTGATATTCTGTTTAAATATATATATATATATAGAGAGAGAGAGAGAGAGAGAGAGAAGGACAGCTAATTTGCACAAATGTTCCTTAATAAGGTTTTGACTCTCATTTCCCTCTACAGAGACATTCCAAGCAGCTAAAATGAACAATAAAGGCAAGGGAAGCTAAGCAACCCACCAAAGCTAATGCAAGCTAAGGTGATGGGGAAGCCACTTCAAGATTTTTTTATTTGGTTGATTTCACAGACTGATTTCGTTGAAGTGATTTCTGGCAAAATCAGAGCCAAGGCCAGGCTGGGGCCATGAACCATCCCTGCAGGCAAGAACTTCTGCAATGCTGACCACTAAAATGAAGAAGGGCCAGATTCCTAGCAGTGTATACTTGGCCATTCCAGGGGCCTCAAAGCTACCTTTAAATTATTGGGGTTAACAAAACACACTTCTTTTCCCTTATATAAGCTCTGGGGCAGCCTCTCTCAGCCTAGTGCCTTCCAGATTTTGTTGGACTCCCACCGCCATCCTTGACCACTGGGCCAGGACAGCTGAGGCTGATGGGAGTTGTAGTCCAACAACCTCTCGAGATCCACAGATATGGAAGGCTGTTCTAGGACCGAGCTCACGCAGTCCTGGGTAGCTTATCAAGCCAGTTCCAAGTGTCAGGCTGTGAGATTCCTTGCTTAAAGCTCTGGATTCTATTATAAGCACCAGGCTTTAATCCCAGACTCTTCCTCTGGCTTTCTTTTCTTTTGTTCCTTCACAACTTCCTTGTTTTCCCTTTCATTAGCTTCCCTATACTATATCATGCAGTCTTTAAATCTGCATGACTTGAGACTTCCTTTGTGGCTCTGACTCTGCTTCAAATGTTGTACGTTTCCCCAAAACAAATGAGAAACGACATGGGAAGCTATGACACATAACCAAGTCACAAATCACCACTCAAACTGTGGCTGTTTTCCAGGATTTCCTGAGCTGTGAGACTGACATGTTTCTGAATATTCAAAGACTGGTTCTCTCTTCTTAAGTGCCACTCACTTAAGCTCACTTAAATTGCATTTGCTCAACTGACAGGCTTTAGATTTTTGCTTTTGTGTTGTTCAGTAAGTGTGTGCTGAACTGATGATGGGGAAACTGGCTAAGGATGTTCTAGTTAGGAATTAAAGGACAGAGTACAAAAGGAATTAACTAGGAAAAAACAGAAGGCAACGAAATATAAAATAATGTTTTTTCTAGTCTTATAGCTGGGTGTCAAATCATAACACATTAAAAGGCATTGTATTTGGAACAAATCCTTTGTATCCTGTTAATCAGAGAACAGTTACTTCATTGACTTTGATATTAGAAAGAATGAATGAAGCAAGTTGCTCAGAATTTATAATTTCAGAGCTAGACAGAAAGCTAATATGCTTTCATAAACTACAAATAGGAATCAAATGGCATCAGATGTAAGCGGAAATCTCTTTGATTGAATTTTCAGATACAAAGAGATGTCACCGTTGGCACCTCTCACCAAGAGTGTGATTATTTTTGGAGAAACTTTAGATAAGGAGACAGAACAAACAGTTTTAATGGTGGATGTGATAAGACCTAGCCAGAGAGATCCTCAGTGATACTAAAAACAATATAAAATAAAGAGAGAACCTGGTTTTAATAACAAGGCCAAAGTACTGACCCAATGCAGAACAGCAAAGCATTTTTTAAAACGTCAGCTTGGTATGGCTTCACAGAATGACCACCATATCAAACCTCAGATAGTGAAACTCATATGCTGGACAGCTGGATTCTCCTCCCTCGCCTGGGAGGGCAGCAGCTACAGTCAGCGAGTTTGACACAACTGGGATTGATGCCATGGCCACCCAAGCCCTCTGCTTAACTGGCCCTATTCCAAGTATGTGGAACAAAACTGAAGACAACAGGCTTGCTGGCAGCAAGGGAGGTTGGGGAGAGGCTGTTGTTTCTGAAAACCGGCTAGGAATTTGCACACATTGGTACCTCCACCCATTATCACCCTCCTCCCTGCCTCCAGAAGGGCCTCCTGGCCTCACCTGTGAAGTCGTAGAGCTGGGGCAGGGCGTCCATGACGATGCCAATCAGAGGCAAGTACAACTGAGCCACGTGCTCCCGTACCGAACGGTCCATGTAGCGAGGGTCCGAGTCGTGGCTGCACAGCAGGTTGTGAAGAGTGCTGATTGCCTTCTTGTGCAAGAAGAAGGCTCTGAGGCAAGGGAAGGGAAGAGAGCAGGGATGTCAGAAAGGGCTCTGGCTACAAGGGCATCAGGGAACCATCCCAAAGGACCACACTTACCCCTCTGCATCCGGCTCCAGGATGAGAGCCAGCTCCATCAGCACCAGCCCTGCCAGGAAGTGCTGCTGCCGAAAGGCCACCGACAGCTCAAACATGCTGGCCACTCGTTGGTCCTGTGTGTGGCTGGAGAAGGCTGAGCCCTGGGAAAGGGGAAAGGCCATGAGAAAACAAGCAGGGCTGACCCCAGCCAGCGTGTCGTGAACAGTTCCTTTCCTTATCATTGCATAGAAAAGAACAGCGTCCAAGCTTCACATCTCAGTTGCCATCATTTACTGGTAGCCTTTCGAATGAGCCAGTCTCTCTCAGTTGTTGCTTTCATGAACTACTTCTTTAAAGGGGGGGGGGCAAGGAGAAGAAAGGAAAGGTTCCACAAGTGTCAACTACAAAAGGTGATTGTGGCGTTTGCCCTCCTATGTGTGTGACATCATACTGGGTTCATAGGGAAAGGGTTAACTAATTGTAAAATGACTAACCAATGGGAAGCCAAGGGGCAGAGTTAACTGTGTATAAGGTTTAAGCACAGAGAGAATTTGTTAAGAAGAGTTAGGGTTAGAGTGGTTGAGAAGACAGTCTGGAGGTAGACGAGAGAGGGAAGATAAGTTTGTGAGTTGGGCTAGTCTGGTGTGAGAGAGGGAGAGAATTTGTTAAGAGGAGTCAGTCAAACAGTTGAGATAATCAGTCAGAAGGTATTAGGAAGGTACAGGCCAGCAAAGAAACTAAAGTTAAGATACTGCCAGGAATATTATCAGAGAAACCATAAACTTGTTAATGTGTGTAAAATAAACTTTTTTTTGTGGTTCACTTTTAACAACTGACTGGACTCAGTGTTTTACCAGAGAGTAACTGGTTGGTGGCAGCGGAGAAGTGATCACAGTGGTGGCACAGGGATCAGTAGACCGTTAAACGTCCGGGGACCCTGTGTGATCGCCACAGTGATATAGAGCTCTGCAGGAGCAAGGGAAGCAGGGAGAGTTAAGGGGCAGGGGATCAATCCTCTGCAGTGTTTCATGACTTCCTAGGGGTGACAATGCTGCCCCTTTCAGCCATGGGGGCAGGGGACTGACCTCCCCAGGGAGAGTCAGCTAGCATCCCCTGCCCAATCACCTCTTGGTGCTCACTGAGCAATCCATGGCAATGCTCCCAATTTTTTTCCTGTCCCTCCAATGCTGCCGTTTGCCTCTTGGTTTTTCAACATGCTGATTCCTCTCGCTACCAGAAAAACTTTCCATCTCTTTCAAGTCTTTCCTGGAAGCCTACTTCTTCAGCAAACCTTCTTTGAGCCAGCAGTCATCACCCCAACACACACCCCTACCCCAATTCCCAGTGGTATCTGCTACCTGGCCACTTGCTTAAGGCAGCTCTGAAAGGGATCAGACTATTTCCCAGGGAGGGCATCCGATAGCAGAGGCTGGGGGCAACAGGTCAGCTGCCGCCTTCATGCCCAGCTGGTGCGCTTGCAGAGACACCTGGCTCAGGGTTGTTCAAGGCAGGCTGGTGGGACCGGATGGAGTCATGCTCTGACTCTGATCCACCAAGAGTGTCCTTTTCTCACGTTCCCTTCCCTTACGCTGGGCTGCTTACCTGGGAGGTTGCTGAAGAAACGGAGGGGGAAGGGGAAGCAGGTGGGGAGAGGCCACTGCAGGGCAGGTTCAGAGTGACGTAATGCTCATGGCTGCAGATGATACGGATGAAGTCCATCCTCAGAGCAATGAGGGCATTGGGGTTCTGGGTGGTCAGCAGCCTGTTATTGATCTGGAGAGGAGGAAGGAAGGTAGCTGTTGTGGGCTTGGTAAAGTCCAGTCAAAGGCGACTATAGGGTTGTGGCGCTCATCTAGCTTTCAGGCCAAGGGAGCCGACGTTTGTCCACAGACAGCTTTCTGGGTGATGTGGCCAGCATGACTAAACCGCTTCTGGTGCAACGGGACACCGTAACAGAACCCAGAGCGCACGTAAATGCTGTTTACCTTCCTGCCGCAGCGGTACCTATTTATCTACTTGCACTGGTGTGCTTTCGGACTGTTAGGTTGGCAGGAGCTGTGGCAGAGCAACGGGAGCTCATTCCATCACGGGGATTCGAACCGCCAACCTTCCGATCAGCATACGCAAGAGGCTCAGTGGTTTAGACCACAGCACCTGCCGCATCCCTTGTAGGCTTGGTACAGCACTGTGAACCCTCCAGCCTCTAGCAGAGGCCACCCAGAGTCACCATCTCCTTCTCCAGTGTCCAGTCTAACATCACTTGAACTGAGTGAGGGTTCAAGCTTTAACCAATTACTTATGTATATATTTGCATTCATACCCCACCTTTCCTCCAAGGAGCTCAAGGTGGCATACATGCTTTTCTTCTTCCCCGTTTTATCTTCACAACTACCCTACAAAGTAGACCTGTGGCTGGCCCAAGGCCACCCTATGATCTTCATGGCTGAACAGGGATTTGAACCCTGGTCTCTCAGGTCCTAGTCCAACACTCCAACCCCTACAACACACTGGATCTTTATGTTCTGCACATACAGAAAGTTTTCCGCATCCACCTATGTAAATAAAACTCTTGCCCTCTCTCCTAGTTATTGTGCCCTCTTCCAGGAGGTAAAATTAGCAGCCTGGGAAAAGAGAACCACTGGGTTCCTCTTGTTACCTGCTTGTAGTAAGAACGCAGGAGGTTGAAGACAAAGCCGCGATCCATGAGGGATAGTAGGTCATTGAGGAAAAAGGCCAGGCTGCTGTTGAGACGTTCCACCAGCTCAATATCCTGCAGAAGAAGCACAGAAGTATGTGAGGTGGCAATTGAAGGGGCTTCTGTGGGGCTCTGGCAACCCTGAATGCAGGGTCAGAAACTGAGCAAGTGGGAGAGGGGATTAAGACCACGTGAGCGAGTGCAAACTGCTAGCACACAATCAAAATGGGGCAGATATCTCACAGAATTCCCACACATTTCAATAAGGTTCATATAGAAGTTCTCAGCAGATTATACACAAAGGTTTCCATTTTGCTCCAGTTGTGAATTTTAAAGGGAGATCAAGAACAACTAGCCATCTTTGGATTTTTTTGTGGTGTTATATAATCACATAAACCATTTCTTTTTTAAAACCCACTTAAAAAAATTGTAGTTTGAGGGGGGGGTTGTGGGGGTGTTAATACAGCTTAAGTCACTCAAAAGTAATATACATGCATGAATGGATGCACATTTATAAAGAAGGTGAGTAAGACTTGCTGGATGTATCTACCTATATTATTAAGGGCTGCTATATCCCCACCATTAATGTTTTAATCTAGCAAGGATACTATTTTGTACAGATAGTCTGTTTTGGTTGTTTTTAAAAAATCACATTTTACATGAAAAGTGGGTCACAACAATATATTCTAGGGCATTCAGTGTAGGAAATTCCATATCCACTATGTTTTTTGTCACTTGAGAGATCCTAGGAGTTATATGAAAATGTAAAGCTTGGGTTTTATTTGTTTACACCTGTAGCTTAGGAGAAAGAATATGGAAAGCAGAGAAACCTGTACCTTGTTACTCCCAACACTGAACTTTTTAAAGTTTGCACTCTAGTGCAGGTCAAGGTTTAAAACATGCAAACATGAATTAAGTCGCTTGGCTTGTTTGTAGAGTGATGCGGATAGAAAACTCTTAAGGAATGGATGGAGAGGAAGCCAAACAAAAGAAACCTTGCACAAACCTTCTGGCAACGGCTGGCGATTTCGGCACTGACGGTGCACACCAGGGCTGAGATGTCATCAACAAAACGGCCAGGGAAACGCAGCTTGCGAGGTGCCTCCAGCTTGTCACACAAGAAGAGATGGTGTGCCATGCTCTTCACCTAAGAAGACCATCAAGGGAGTTTCATCCTCCTGGATCAGCAGCCACTGCCCAATTATTCTAACCCCTTTGGGAATTCCAATTTAGACTGAGCTGACCTGTACAGCTGACCATGGTTGGGGAAATCCTCTCTTAGAACAGTGCACTCCACTTGGGACTATCTGCACGTGAGCAGCTGAAAATCAGTTAGGCTGCTTAAACTACTGTGCCAAAGCTGCCGGCCTGACTGAAGAGAGGTTAAATATCCTAAAAAGAACTGGCAAAATAAGACAGGCAGAAAAGAATTTCACTTTAAATCTGAAAAGTCTGCCACTGGGATTATCACAGAGCGACTGAGCCACTCATAATTCTGTTCCTTTCGGAAACCTTCCTCGACTTCCAAATACAAAATGATGAAATTTGGACCTAGGTGTGGTGCTTTTAACAGAGCACCCTGTAGAACCGCACATCAGTTCTTTTCATTGCTTAATATTTTAGGGAAGGTGGTTGTTTTTTTCCAAAGGCTGATCTAGGATACACCTTGAGGGACAACTCAGTTCTCTCATAACTTTCTATAGTGACACTGTGCAAAGCAGAAATTTGGAAACTGGACAGCAAAGGGACATAAGGCAACACGTAAAGCCAGCAACCAGATCATGGATGCTCCTGGGCAGAAGGCCAACAATTTTTTAGGGAGATCAGCAGCAAGGGGCATACCATCAACTGGAAGAAGAACCAGGCTTGATGCAAGGCAGCTTCCCGCACGGAACTGGTGCTCACCACCCACTGCAGGGCCAGTTCTTCATGAAGAAGCTAAAAGAGATTCACAAGGAGAGGAAACACTCAGCACGCCCCTTGCGGAAATTCAGGTCAACCATTGCAGGACTGAGTACAGAGTCACAGGCTGGTGCTTCTGGAGCTACCAGCTGCTTTCAAACCAGGGGAAGAGAGAGGGAGTAAAAATACAGCCCTCATCTGTACACCCTATTCTTCAACTCAGAATCTGTTTGATTGCCTGTCAAAAAAAAGTCACAGATCTTCAGAAGCTGCTGTTAGGTTAGAAAAACAATGAATGACAAAGACTAGGAAATGGGCCAGGTTTTGGAATACAGGCCTAGTCTGAAAAACCACAGATCCCTAATGAGATTTCTGGGGAGTCATTCATTCCCCAGTCAATTTACACAGATGGATGCTTCTTGGTATAACTGACACCCACCCAACTCATCTCACTAAGATCACTGCCTCATCTCAGTCAGTGGCCAAGGAGTCAGAAGCCTTGTAGCATACATACTATAAACACAGCCATTTAGCGACTGGTTGTGTTGTTCAGGCTTCCTGCATGCAGAATGGGAATGAGGGGGGCACACACAAAACTGCTCTCGTGTCTAAACAGAGTTATCAGCATCCAACTTTCCCTTGTAGTTCTCAAAGTACTATTATCTGGATACAACAGCACAGTCTGGACTCTGGACCAATCTGCATTCAGAACTCGACAGGCCAGACCTACTTTCTTCCTCTTGATTAGGTTGGTGTGTTTTTTTAAATTCCATATAATGTTAAATATGTTATCAGTGAAATAGCAAAAGCTGAAGTGGCCAAGAGTCTCAAGTTGTCCTCCCTCCCAATGAGCTCCAGCCAGGAGCAGTTCCCATCTAGGACTGCCTAAAAGCAAGAAGCAAGTCTACATGTTTATTCCTGGCAGACACGTTGAAAGTCTCCCATAGACATGTGAAGAAGGTTCAGGTGAGTTGTGTATTATGAATATAAGACTCAGAGCAGCAGCTCTGCGAGAAAAAGCCAAAAAGATGGCAAATAACACTGAAGGAAAGAAAGTAGAGACTGAAGTATGAGAGCAAGCGGAATAGCATTCAAAGGAGGGTGGGATTTTTATCATGACTAAATTGGTTTAGTCCCCAAAATCAGCAGGGCCTGAATTTCTTCATGGCAGAAACCAACCACAGATACATGATCTCCACCCAAAGGGCTTACCCAAGGCAATGCCACATCGCAGAGCTGCCTGCACTTCTGTGGCCTATTCAGAGCACATAACATTGTTACACATTCACAACAACTAGCGCCACTTGCTTCTAAACCAAATACTTATACTCAGTGCTTTTTTTCTGGGGGGATGCATACCCCTAAACATTTTGCGAATCTAAGTTTGGCCTCACTGAGGGGCAGTATTTCAATATGAGTAGGAAAATGAGAGTACCCCTAAACATTTTTTTTAGAAAAAAGAAAGCACTGCTTATACTAGATGGATTCGATGCATGTCTACTTGGAAGGAAGTTCCACTTAAATCCATGCAACTTACTCCCAAGGGTGCATAGGATCCTAGTCTTAAGTTTGTCTTCCAGGGCGACATGTCTGGGGTGCTTCCCAGTCTCTCTCTACCTTTTTGGTTGTTGATCTCATCGGGGTGGCCGGAGGAAAAGTGGAGTTCTCAAGATAGGAGGAGATACGATTAGGTGCTCGCTCCGCAGCCTGTGAGATGAGCAGAAGCAAGAGAGAAAAGAAGAGGACACAGTGGTGGTGAAGAGGTATTACTCAGGATGGAAGGAGGAGCGAGGTGATGGTTTGCAGGAAAAGTGGCCAGCTTCCTTACTGAGAGGAAGGAGCTCAGAATTTGAAAGCAAACCACAATTTGGAAGGAAGCAGGAGTCTAGAATGGATTTGCAAGGTCACCAAACTCAGGGCTGCATAACCTAGATCAGATAGGCCAAACCAATGCTTATATGCAACTCAGTTAACAAACAGGACGACTTCCCACACACAAGGGGAGAGCACGTTCAAGAAGAGTAATAAACACCAAGTGTAATCAACCTGTTGCCCTGAAAGGATGAGTACTTGTTGCACACAGGAAGAGCAGGAGGGTCCGTGGGGTTCTTTTAGGTAAAGACCCAGGCCTCCACTCCTGCCTGCCTCTTTAGTGGTGCACTGCTGTCCAGTTCAGTAGATTAGAAGGCAAACATACAGCAAAGGTATGGAGAGCGCTTGCTTATAGCCATAGGATGCGCTCTCATCATAGCAGCAATCCACAAAGCTGCCAGTAGATGGCACTGTTGCAGAGTGAAAGACAATTGCCCAATTTAGAGAGCTCTGATAAGGAAAATACAGTGATACCTTGGTTTACAAGCATAATCCGTTCCGGAGGTCCGGTTGTAAACCAAAACAGGTTGCAACCCAAGGCGTGCTTTCGTCAATGGGGCCTCCCCCCCCAAAAAAATCGGTTGTAATCCCCCCCAAAAAAGGGACACACACTTCAGGGTTTGACGTGGTTGCAATCCAAAACGGTTGCAAACCAAGGTACCACTGTACCTAACACACCCTGTACTGAGAATGCTACATAAAATCACACGAGTTATGGCTTCTTCCCAATAATATTCACTGACCGCCAAGGGTAGGGTAGGGTAGGATAGAATAGGATAGGTGGGGGAGACGCATCTTTCCCATGTAACAGGAGTGTCCAACGTCCAGCGCACATTAACAATTTCACAGAGAAGCATAATACCGGCCATATGTTTGCTGCGCATGGTGGAGGCAGCAGCTGTGCAAGCCAAGAAACTGCCTAATTTTACTGTGCAGAAGGACTTTGGAATGTGGGTATTATATGGTTGCAGAGAGAACCTTGGAAACCTTGAGCCTCACATATGCCAGGGAGCAAATAATCCACGCTACTGTTTCCTTAAAACAAAGACACTTAACAAAATTATCTATCACATTTTTGCTTCTGTCTTTCTTCAGGGATCTCCAGGCAGCATACATGGGGTTAACCCCTACTCAATCTCATGCATCATCCTGCGGCACGTTAGGTTGTGAGGTGGAGACTGGTTGAAGGTTATCCTGGAAACTTTATAATTGCTGACAGGGTGTTTTTTTAACTGAAATCCCCTTAGTCCAACTTCCACAATCTCTGCACTGCACCACAACAGCTCCTCCCCCTCCCCCTTCCCGCTTTGAAGTGTGGCCCCTGGCAAGCAGCAGTTCCTGCGTCAATAGTTTATTCGCTGCTTTGGCCCAAATTAGACCTGCAAACCAAGCCAGTCGTTCCTCTGCATGCGCGATCCACCTGCCGCCTTCCCCTGCCCCTTCTGCCTTCCAGGCAGGGTTACCAAATGTCAAGTGCAAAGAATCCTGCCAACTGTGATCCATCATGGAAGGGAAACCGAAGCCTGAAGAGAATGCAGGTGGCATTTATAAAATAATCCATAAAGGAGATTTCACGACAGCCCTAACCCAGGAAGAAGCAGAGGAGGTGAGGTGCTGCCCAGTCTGCTAACTGCACCCTGGGTATCAGACAGCATTATGTCTGCGCTGCTTTCGAACGCTCTTCCAAACTGCTTTCAGCGAGCACAAAAGGGTCAGTTGCGTGAGGAAAATAAATAAAACCTTGCACAGATCTTTGCAAACAAACCTCTCCCCTGACATTACCAAACCTCAGATGACGGAAGGCTACAGATATCAAAACTATGCTTCCCGTGTCAGGCAGTGCAACCTTCATTGTACCACCTCATAACGCTGGGACTACGCCTCTACAACCTAAGGCTGCTTTGGGCTCTTTTGGGAGGAAGGGTGGAATATAAACAGAATAAATAACAATTAATATTAATAACGATCAGCGCTTTGGGGTAGAAAATGAGGTGCCAGCACTCCTATTTGGATCAAAGTGCTGTGGGTACCAGCACAAAATGGCTGCCATGGGGGAACAAGAGAGAGAGAGAGCTGGAGGCGAGTTCTGTCACAAAAAGTCACGAATAATAATACAGTCAAACCTTGGTTCTCGAACGTAATCCGTTCCGGAAGCCCGTTTGGCTTCCAAGATGTTCGACAACCGAGGCGTGGCTTCCGATTGGCTGCAAGAGCTTCCTGCACTCAAGTGGAAGCCGTGGCGGATGTTCGATGTCCGAAAAACGTTCTAAAACTGGAACATTTACTTCCGTGTTTTCGGCGTTTGGGAGCCGAAATGTTCTAAAACAGAGGCGTTCGGGAACCGAGGTTTGACTGTAATGCCATTCTTTTGGAGTGGCAAAGGAGAAGCAGATGAAATTTCAAAGGTCAATCCAAGAAGGCAGCTTTCATTTTCATTTTTTCATGAAAAGCATGTCCCCTGATGCCTGTTGTGGTGCCCAACAGCCCCCCCCCAACTCGAACCTTCTGGGAAAACATAACTCTTTACCCCAACGCAGACATTAATGGCAGGCACACCCTGGTGAGCAAGTCAAGGAGAGGAGCAAGGGGTCGGAGCGCCAGGGAGAGGGGAGGGGAAAGGCAAAGGCACCTGCTTCAGATCCATGCTGGAGTTCGGATGGTTCCTACGAAGCACAGACTTTGGGCCTCCGGGGGCATATGCTGAGTTGACCCAGGAGTGAGAGCGGTCAATCCCCTAGGGTAGCGTGCAAGAGAAGAGCAGGAAAGGAAAAACAATCAGAACCAAGAAACCAAGGGTAAAGAGCCACAACCATTGCTGCTGTGATCGCAGAGAAGGAGGAGGAGGAGGAGGAGGAGCCTTAGTTAAACCAGGGCCTGCAATTTCCATGCAAGTGACCAAGAGGAACACACACAAAGCATTATAATGCATTAGAAGCCCAGGTTTTCCATTGCCACAAAGCCCATTGACTTGGTGGGTTGTGTGCCATATGTTTTATGGTCACAGAATGCACCTGAGTGGGGCACCAGTTTGTAGGGAAGACAGGGAAGCAGGACAAATAATAGGGGAGGACATGGCATGAATCCCCTGTAAGGGTCTATTCCTGGGGTTCCCAACGTGGGGCACATGCCCCACAGGACAGCAATTTGATTTTTAAGGGGGGGCAATTCGAAAATGAGTTATTAACAGTGGTTTGTTTTTTTTTGCATTTCTTATGGTTCTAGGGGCCTCAGATACAGTATATAAATATATACTGTGACATACACATTTTTAAAATTAAAATAAAATTATATGTCGGGGGCGGCATCAGGATTTTAGAGATGCTTAGGTGGGGCATGGCCCAAAAAAGGTTGATAACCACTGATCTATACTGTCTCCCACTCTGCTTTCCTCCAATTATGAACAGCAAGCACACACGTGGAGGGGGTGATTCTGATCACAGCAGAAGCAAAGGGCTAAAGACCACCACTCACTCACCCAGCCACCCACCCACCTCATGCCATGGTCCCGATCCAGTTTGACCTCCTCACCCCCGCACTGCCTGTACTTTCCTTTGTAAAAATCTTGCATACCAGGGCTAACCAAGTAACAAAACACCACACATACTCTGCCCCTTGAAGAATCTTAATGGCAGTGATCACCCTCCAATGTTTCAAAAGAGGGAAAGTATTATTTCAGGCAATTTTTTTCCAAAACAAAGAATTAGGATTAGTGGCAGGGTGGTACAAGTTGGTGCTGGGCCCAGGAGGGTGGCGCTTGGGCACTCATGGCAAATGACTGCAATGACTACTGTGATTATTAAAATGCCAGATGTATACAGATAGTTTATTACCAGTGGGAAACCTCTGGCCCACAGAGATGATTAGGCCCATCCAGGCCTCCCCACTTGGCCCACAAGGCTGTTTCAGTCAAATCACCTTCACCTGCCCTACATCTCATGTCACCTCCACCTGAAGTCATAAACGACATCTGGCGTGAGGCAGACAAAGATGGGGTTTGCAAGCAACCACAAAGTCTTGCACCTGCAAACCTCCTTTAGTTACTGGGGCTTGCAAATAAACGTGCCTTTGCCTGCGTGGTTTGATTTCAAACCATGAAGGCAAAAAAAAAGGGGGGGTCACTTGACATCACTGTGCCATCCGGTGACTGACACATAAGCTGCCCCACTCCTCTATCAAACCTGGTCCATGGAGGGTGGGGGGAGATAAGGCTCTGATCCAAGGGATGGATCCAGCTTCACATCCTTGAGGTATATGATGCTCTCGGACAACTTTGGAACTCCCTCCCTGGAGAAGCTAGACTGGCTTCCTCCTTGTCCTTCTGCCAACAGGTAAAGACTTTCTTATTCCAAGAGGCTTTTGGGAACTGACTGCTTTTGATGAAAGGGCCGGTGCTGTGGTGTTTTTATTGCAACTCTCTGTATGATCTTTTATACCTATAAATAGTTTTAATTCTATCATTTTTGTAACGATTGGGCTTTTTCTTCTTCTATGTTTTTAGCTGTTCCTATTCTATCTGTATTCTGCCAACCTAGCAGTTCGAAAGCACATCAAAGTGCAAGTAAATAAATAGGTACTGCTCCAGCGGGAAGGTAAACGGCGTTTCCATGCACTGCTCTGGTTCGCCAGAAGCGGCTTAGTCATGCTGGCCACATGACTCCGGCCTGGTGGAACGCCCTGTCTCTTGAGACCAGGGCCCTACGGGATCTGATCTCTTTCCGCAGGGCCTGTAAGCCCTTTGGCTCAGAATCAGTTTGATTCCCTCCCCCTTTTTCTTTTTCCTTTCTCCTCCTATGATGAGATTGCTCCCTAATTGTTTTAATATTGTATCTTAATCTTTTAAATTGTATTTTAATCAACTTGTTTTTATTATTGGTTGTTAGCCGCCCTGAGCCCGGTCTTGGCTGGGGAGGGCGGGGTATAAATAAAAAATTATTATCATTATTATTATGACCCGAAAGCTGTACACTGGCTCCCTCGGCCAATAAAGCGAGATGAGCGCCGCAACCCCAGAGTCGGCCACGACTGGACCTAATGGTCAGGGGTCCCTTTACCTTTATTCTATCTGTAAGCCACCTTTAGCCCCCATCATGGGAAAATAAATTAACAACAACAAGAACCCTCAGCAGCGCTTACCTTGCTGCCAACAATCTTCTGAACCTCTTCATCTGGGGAGTTTGGTGTGGTGGTCAGGTCAGGGTTGCTGTTGCTGATGCTTTTGGAGCGAGAGAGATTCAGGCTGACAGGGCGCCCAGTTGTGCGGGACAAGGTGGCGTACTGGATGGGGCCACTGTGGGGTGGCATTCCAGTCTCTGTAAAACACAAACACACACAAACCACTAGGTTAAGTCAAAGGACAGACGGGCATATTGGTGTGGGAAGAATGCTATTGAGGGATGACGCCTTCAGCAGTCACGAATAGGCCATCGCTTCCCATGGCCATGAGAAGACAATGCGCTGCCACTGTGTCCCAATTTACCCTCCATTATTTTATCCTTGGATGCCTCCTCCCTGCACCAGAAAGGAGCATCTCAAGTGAAGAGTCCTTCTGGCTCAGCCAGAGGGCGTGATCTGGCCGGGACACACTTCTGCTTCCCCCGTAGGATCTGGGATACCTTCTTTTCAATCTTTGTTTTTCCTCCATGTTCCGGTGGAATGGCCATGTTTCGTTGTTGGGTTTTATTAGTTGGTGCATCTTCCTAAGCTGTAGCACTTTCTGTCCTCAACCCCCTAATATCCCTATGGAAGTTTAAGGCTCTACAAGTCCTGCCTTTCCTGGTGGGTACAGTCAGTTGCCCATAAATCAGGCATAGGCAAACTCTGGCCCTCCAGATGTTTTGGGACTACAATTCTCCATCATCCCTAGCTAACAGAACCAGTGGTCGGGGATGATGGGAATTGTAGTCTCAAAACATCTGGAGGGCTGGGGTTTGCCAACGCCTGCCATAAATGGATACCCTCCTCTCTCCAGCAGAGCAGAAGAAACCTTCACTGCCTTTCGGCAAGCCCTAATAATGTTTTCCACCCTTTTTGGGGGTAGATCATCACCCATATTTCTGATTCTCTTTCCTCAAAAACGAGGACGATCCTGCCTCTCTGCATACCAGAGACCACTGAAGAGCAAGTAGCTGTGTTTAGGCCACTCCTTTTTCTGTAGGGCCACGAGTCTGGTTTCCCATCCCCACTGCCTTGTCCCTGGCACAGAGCTGCCATTGAACGCCAAAGGCAGAATGTGGAAGAGGCACTGCTAGGATGAAAATGTGCAGGGAGTGTTTACACTGAGAAGAAACTCCAGGAGCCTGGTGAAGCAAGCTCAGAACATCGGTGGCTGCCCAGCTCCCTTGCTCTTTGGTGCCAGATCTAATCTGCGCTTTTAACTGCCAGGCATGGTGCCAGGAGAAGGGGAAAACAGAAATCCCCAACCCTTGCAGCCAGAAAAGTTAGAGGATGAGGAAGTCTTGAGATTTTTCTATTTTTGTCCCCCAAGAGACTTTTGATAGTACTGCAGTCCATGGAGGACAAACACCGAATGATCCCCCTCCCCTGGCCCCTTGGGAGTCTGGGTTTTCCAGTACTGGGTGGAAGGAGCCAGCCCATAACTGGATGCTGTCTCCCTTCTGGGTGAGGAACATGCACAAGGGAGATTCTCAGTCCACTCCAATGATGAAAGAATTGAGATTAAGGAGGATGTGTTCACCACCCGTCACAGTGTGTTGGCTGAAGAGGAAGGGCTGCTAGCTGGGAAGAGGAACTGCCTTCAGTGCTCTGTGCAATGGCCTTCACATGTATGACCATGGATGTGGGGAAGGACCAAAGTCTCTCTTCCCCTCACCAGTGCAAGCCTGTTTCGAAGCAAGTGCACTTTACTTCACCAATTTAATATGTGCCACATCTTTCCCACCATCTCCTGCAAACCGCAACAAATAATCTCCCCTTATGCATCTCACTAAGAGTGTTACCATGACGTCATTTCACTATCAGAACTTCTTGATGGTGGCTGGGGATGGAAAGGAAGTGATTGGTCCTCTTTTTTCCAAGTGGGGGTGCTCTAAAAACCTCCTCCATCATATACATACATTCACTGCCACGAATAAAGCTCCTTCCTTTCACCCCACCCCTGTCAAGAATACAAAGAGAATGAAGATCTCGTGATACTGTTAATATTGGCTGAGAGCGCAGGGTGAGAGAGTACCATATTTCACTGCATAATGGTCACATTTTTAATGCTGATTTTTCTTTTCAAAAAAAGCAGGGTGCAACTATTATGCGGTGGCGACCATTACGCAGTGAAATGCGGTAAATGCATAGCTTTGCTTAGGTCTCTAACCCAATCCTGCAAGCCCCACACAGAGAAGCAGGAGGCCAGCTGCACAGGCCCTGTCGCAGGCACAGGTCCCAGCTGCCTGCCTCCAGGCAGGACCTTGCCGCTGTTGCATTTCTCCTCCATCGCTGGCTCTCGAGCCAGGCCTCCTCGGTTGCCACCGCCTTTGCTCCCCGTGCAAAACTGCCTCATCCTCCACGGGCTGAGGGCTGACTCGGCCAACGGGCAAGTCCTGCAGGCAAGCCTGGGCCCGCAGCAGAACAGGAAGATGGGTGAAGCCAACTAACTCCAAGTCTCCATCCTGCTCCCTATTGAGGCACTGAAACAAAGGCACTGAAACGAAGGAGGAAGAAGCTGAGAGCCAGCTGGTTGTAAGTTGGGGGTTGGCTGGGGGAAGAAATGAGGGCAGCACCCCATTTGCCCTAATGGACTAGCTTCCAGTAGCCACTAAGCCGGGGGTCGGCAAACTACGGTCCCTAGGCCAGATCAGGCCCATCTGGGTCCTGGGTCTGGCCCACACTGCGAAGCCGGAACCTGCTGCGAAGCCGAGACTCCCGGCAATGGCAGCGGGAGGAAAAGGCCAAGCGGCGGCAGCTCTGCCACTCAAATGCCGTGCCAGTTTACCTCAGCGGCATTTGATTGGCAGAGACATCCCCGTGCGGCGCTGAGGTAAACCAGGCACGCCGTTTGATTGGCAGAGCCGCCGCTGCTCAGCCTCTTCCTCCAGCCAACACCACCCTGGTGCTCCTGTGGGCCAGAGAGCGGAGCGGACGAGCTTGCTCTGCCTATCCACAAGAAGCAGCAGCAGCGGTGGTGGTGGTGGTGGCAGCCCTTGGGAAGGTAAACACAGTGGCTGGGGCTGGGGAGCGGGGAGGACTACTTGCCCCCCTCACCTCTTCTTCCAGCCTCCCCCATGCCACCACAAGGTCTGAGGGACAGTGGACCGGCCCACTACTAAAAAAATTTGCCGACCCCTGCACTAAGCACATCAGCTTGAGCTTCTCATGCTCCATTTTGGGCTATGCACTCTGTCCCTAAAAGCTACTAGTCTACTGCTATGACTCATCTGCTTCAATTAGCCTTAAATTATTCAGAAGTCCCATCTGTCCCACGTATGACCTTTCCTGGGAGGAAACTCATGGAGCCAAGTTAGGCACCTCCCTGAACATGCCCATCTATCCCTTAGGGGCAAGCAACCTGCTGACTAATTTCATGGAGATAGAGGGAGGAGGAGAAGAAGTGGAAGGAAAGAGATGGCAGGCAGAGAAGGAAGGAGCACTGCTCATTTTTGCCTCTCGACTCCAAGACTGCAAACATCTCACAGTGTCCGCTGGGTGCCGATTAAATCAGGCCGCTGTTTTCCTTGAGACAGAAGCACACTGCTATCAGCACAAGGAGCTGGGCATCTCTCATAACTCTGGAGCGCCTGGGTTGCAGACCAGGGAAAATGGCAGCCAGGGCAACATGAATGACAGCCAGGCACTTGCTCCTCCCTCCTCCTTCACACACATGGAACCAAACACTCTGTGCTATACCTGGTAAGCCTGGCTCTGCCACAGGCAGACGGAAAACGTAGAAGATGTAAGAGGCCAGCAGATGGTTGTGGCCATGCTGGTCCTGGCTGCTGTCAAGGTTCTTGTGGATCTGGTTCACCATCACGGCCATGGCTTCAAAGGCAGCACGGCCCAGGTTCACTGAGAAAATGGGGAGACGTGTGGACTTGTGTTAATGACCAAAAAGTGGCGCAAAACACCAAACACTGGAACAGAAAGGGCAAGCAAAGGTTAGATGGTTTTCCGCAAACAAGAAGGATGAAGGCTACTTGATCTTGGGAATTCATAGCATGTTAGGGCGTGCATAAATTTGGAAAAAAGGAGCAAATGCGGGCTTTTTTATTGCCCAGTTTGCAAGGTCTACCACTTGTCGTTCTTCCTCCCCATCTCTAGTTCCTCGGACAACAAATGCACAGGCTGCTGAAAACTAAAAACCAAAAGAAAACACTTCCCTACGTTTAACCTGGGAAGAAGGTTGACCTTGTGCCAAAAATGTAGAGAATGTGTTTCCAAAAAATAATGTTTTCCTTCAGAAATCCTTACATAGAAAGATGCAGCTGTAGCTAGAATTAGGCGCAGAAGAATACAGATACAAATGGGACTTTGGTCTTCTTTATTGCTGCATGCTGTACTTTAGAAGAAGAAAGGCACATCATAAATCTTTCTTGCTCACTGCTTCCAACACCTGCTTTAAAGCATGACGTGGGGTGGGGTGGGAAACATCAGGAGGGGCTCTTGACCCTGAAAGAAAAGACCTCTCCCCTTCCCATGAGTTCTCAGTTTTTGGCAGAGGACTTGGGTGAGGGGGAAACAACAAAACACATTGTCCCTAGCAAAAGGCAGATCTTTCAGAGAAGTGAATTTAATTGTGACAGCAACACTGGCAATCACGTAAATGGAAAAGTAATAAGCAACTGTCTGTAGATGAATGGTTAAAACAACTGTGATACTGAAATGCCCCAAACATAACAGCCCTCCACTTTTATATTAAGAAAGGAGTTTTGTTCAAAAGTAGTCTCTTTTTTCCTGGGGAACCCCAACCAAATTTAACCAACTGAATGGTGCGCTCTTATATTTATGACTTGTTTTATGTGTATTTCTTTTTCATTCGACTCTTCCCAACCTGCGAGCTGACCCATTTTAACACACATCCTTCTACTTCCAGAGTTATAAAGCCGGGATTCTATCACAACCCATGTTTCCCTTACCCTATCCTTGGAGTGAGTGATGCCAGTATGGAAAACCCTGCCTCTTACCATAAGACTGTGCAAAATGTGAGAATGCTTCAATTTCAGGTTTTGAAGACCCTTTGTGAAGCATCCCAGATGCTCAACCAAAGAACTCAATATGGCCCAGACAATGGTAACCATGGGATAGGGAGTGGAATAGGAGGAGAAGCACAGCACTCACCAATCTGCCCTGCGATAACAGGTGGGTACACAATGAGTTGTATGAGCTTGTTGAGAATCTGGTGGCTAAAGACAACCAGGGACTCCAAGCTAGCCACCCGCAGGTTGCCCACACTGGATTTCAGCTCAGAATCCATGTTGTTTTCTGTGAGGATTACGTCTTTTAGGCGGAAGGGAAAAGTGTATTCTTCCAGCACATGGATCAAGGTGAAGAACTTGTCCAGAAATGGGTCCTGCCAGGATAAAGGATAAGAAAACTATGGTGTAACTCAGAGTTCAAAGCATCTCTTAAATATGGAGTGTCCTTTATTCACTTCAACATCAACGGAAGAACAGATATGTGCTATCTCAAGAACCCTTTGTATGTCTTTGATAATTTCTCTTTGAAAGATTAAGGATTGCCAAGTTGAACCAAACTGATGTTCAGTCCAGCTCAGTATCCTAAACCCCAGAGAGGTAAATGGCTCAGATGTATGTTCTCCCAACATGCATTGTTTTGATGAAGTAACCATGAAAACCCCATTTCTCTCTCTGAGATGCTCCTTGATTTTTCCAAACTGAAAAATAAGGGAGCTGTTTTTGGACTTCTAAAAAAACATTGCAAACAGCTTTCCACAAGCATGATGCTAGAAAGTGAGCTAGCATCAGGCTTTAATTTAGTTCAAAGCTTGGAGACAGGATAGTTGATGCAGGAGCAAAAATCCCAGCTGGCATGCAAGAAAAAGGCTCAACTGAGTCTTGCTTCTACATTCCGTTCCTTGCAACATGAAAACCTCACCACCTCCTCTCACCTGAGTATGGACAGAAGACACTGCCAGCACCTCCACATTGAAGACCCCCTTGTGGTTATCCACCCACTTCATGCCAGGCAGCTGTACCTACAAAGAAGCAACGAGGATAAAATATAATGCCACTAAAGGGTGTCTGCAAAGGACTGAGAGAAGAAGGAAAGCTGGAGATGAGAGGCAGCAAGGAAAAGAAGAAGAGAACATTCCTCATTTCAGCATGTAAGGAAAAGCCCTTCAAGGGACTCTCCTTTCCCCAGGCTACTTACAACAGCCGCTACTTACATCAGGGGTGAGTACCGAGTAGCTGGGAGGAGGCTTGTCAACAGACACAGGCAGACAAAATTGTCCTGTTCTCAGCCGGCCATGTTGCATGAGGGGGATCCACTAGAGAGAGAGAAAAGGCCTGAGTGAGTCCTAGCAGGGACGCGGGTGGCACTGTGGGTTAAAGCCTCAGCGTCTAGGACTTGCCGACCACATGGTCGACGGTTCGAATCCCCGCGGCGGGGTGTGCTCCCGTCGTTCGGTCCCAGCACCTGCCAACCTAGCAGTTCAAAAGCACCTTCGGGTGCAAATAGATAAATAGGGACCGCTTACCAGCGGGAAGGTAAACGGCGTTCCGTGTGCTGTGCTGGCTCGCCAGATGCAGCTTGTCACGCTGGCCACGTGACCCGGAAGTGTCTGCGGACAGCGCTGGCTCCCGGCCTATAGAGTGAGGTGAGCGCACAACCCTAGAGTCTGTCAAGACTGGCCCGTACGGGCAGGGGTACTTTTACCTTTACCTTAGTCCTAGCAGGATGGTATGTCTTCCCTTGTCAGTCCTTCACCTGCCCCTCCCTGCCCACAGACTGCCTTTACTGAGCAGGGGACAGCAGCAAATCAAATACTGCCTGCTGAGAAGGAAGATTTGTTACTGTACCCCACCTTTTAAATCTTCAGTACTCAAGGTGGGTGGAAGGACAGGAATCCCACACAGGAGATGGAAGGGCTCTCTCTGTGTCCAGGGCAGCTGTCTACCAGCTCCATCTGGTATGCAGGCTGAGACCCTACCTGCCCGCTGTCTCACCAGAGTGATGCAGGTTCTGATCATCTGCCGCTTGGACTACTGCAATGTGCTCTACGTGGGGCTACCTTTGTAGGTGACCCGGAAACTACAATTAATCCAGAATGTGGCAGCAAGACTGGTGATTGGGAGTGGCCGCCAAGGCCACATAACACCAGTCCTGAAAGACCTACATTGACTCCCAGTGCGTTTCCAAGCACAATTCAAAGTGTTGGTGCTGACCTTCAAAGCCCTAAACAACCTCAGCCCAGTATACCTGAAGGAGCGTCTCCACCCCCATCGTTCAACCTGGACACTGAGGCCCAGCTCCAAGGGCCTTCTGGCAGTTTCCTCACTGCGAGGTTACAGAAAACCAGGCAGAGGACCTTCTTGGTAGTGATGCCTGCCCTGTGGAACGCCCTCCCATCAGATGTCAAGGGAATAAACAAGTATCTGATTTTCAGAAGACATCTGAAGGCAGCTTTGTTTAGAGAAGTTTTTAATGTTTGGTGTTTTATCGTGTTTTTAATATTCTGTTGGGAGCCGCCCAGAGTGGCTGGGGAAACCCAGCCAGATGAGCAGTGTATAAATAATAAATTATTATTATTATTATTATTAGGAGGCCTTCCACAGTGTCAGGATATGGGTTCATCTAGCCCAGAGCCGCTTAAGTGGCAGTTGCTCCCCAAAGTCTTGAAGTTACCAGAAATCTTTTGCCACCGGAGACATGGGTTTTGAACAGAGGAGCTTCTGCACATGAGCTCGGTTTCTGAGCTACAAAACGCCATGGGTTCTGAAAGCACTCACTGTGTAGCCAACTGGGGTCTCCAAAGGCGTATTTTGCTTCTGCTGACAGCTGATATGGTAAAAGGTAAAGAGCAGGTGGTGGTTGTCCGTCAGGTTGGCCGGGATCTTTAGCTTGAACTCCTCGTAAAACTCAGGGGACCTGCAGGATACAAGAGGGATGTCACAGTGGTCCACCAGGAGCCAGCATTGGCTAAGCCAGAGCCTCACCCACCCACAGGGGATCAACTGCTCTTGAATGCATCAGATAATTTCTAATTTCCTCGGGAAAGAAAACTGCCAGGAAGAAGATTGCACCGGAGAACAATGCTTATTTTTATGAGGCAGTTAGCTTGGGAGACCGCTGGTTCCTTATCCAGGGAGCTGTGCATCCTGATCAAATACCCAGCTGCAACTCTCCCCTCCCTGCCTCATTTGCAACAATTATCTCATCCCACCACCGTAGTTACTTAGGACTCACTTGTTATGGTATACAACAGCTGTGTAAGCTTCTTTTGCAAAGTCACTGCAACTCGATTTCCCAAAGATGACCTGGGGTTGTTAGGAAAGGCAGAAATAGACTTAGTCAGAGACAGGGAGGCTGAAGTCCAACAGACCACAGGGAGGGAGCCTGAGGACGCGGCGGTCAAAGGGGCACCTGGAAAGGCTATGCAATTTTCAATGTTTGCTTACAAAAAAAATTACCCGGTATGTCTCAACGCTTTTCCACATTGGCTAGAGACTCTCACCAACGCCACTGCCCTCTCCTTAATCCCCCTGAGAAACTAAAAGGGGTGGTGGCGACAGCAGCATCTGCCACCTGAACCAGGGAGGCTACAGAAGGAGTTACTTCGGTCATTGGCTAGAATTCAGCATGGAAGGTCACCAGCTGCCCACCCTTAGCATGAAAGCACCACCCCCAGAGGCTTAGATCTGCCACAGATGTGGCTATATTTTCCAATAGATGAGGACTAGGATCTTGACCCAAGAGGGCCTCACAAGAATGGGAACTGTGAATCTGCTTAGCAAAACTGTTCCCTCCAAACTATGTATAATTAAGAAGAGTTTGAATTTGATATCCCGCTTTATCACTACCCGAAGGAGTCTCAAAGCGGCTAACATTCTCCTTTCCCTTCCTCCCCCACAACAAACACTCTGTGAGGTGAGTGGGGCTGAGAGACTTCAAAGAAGTGTGACTAGCCCAAGGTCACCCAGCAGCTGCATGTGGAGGAGCGGAGACGCGAACCCGGTTCACCAGATTACAAGGACTACCGCTCTTAACCACTACACCACACTGGTGTAGTGTGAGAAATGGGAGAGTTCAAAATACAGAGAGGGACTGACTAGGAGACTAAACTTTTGGGCAAAATGGCATATTGGGCTCTATGTTTCCCTTTTCTTATATTCAGATGGTCCCTTGCTCCCTCACAGCACAACCTAGATCTTTGCTCCAGAAGGCCAGTGGAGCTGCAAGAGTTGTAAGAAAGCCACAGGGATTTTGCCTCACTCACTGGCATGGCTTGGCCAGGGTCCTCTCCAGCCATGAACTGGAGCTTCACCGCGATGTTCCGCACTGAACCTTGCCGACTGCTGAAGTTCAGGCTTTGGGGGTAAACATACAGCAGGTTCCTGCAAGAGAAGGGGAATCTTTACAGTTCTGAGGGAGAGCGGAAGCAAATGTGTACATGGCAGAGAGACCCATAACTGATGTGATTGCCAGAACACCTTTTCCTTATCTGCAAAAGAAATCCATGTACACCTGCTGGGAATCAGATGCACTCAAAGATTAAGGAACCACTTAGCAGGGATTTTCACAGGCTCTGCAGATAACTTAGAATGTGTTGTGTTCAGAGTTTCACCCCAGCAACAGCTCCTACTCCATTTCCTGCCCCTCTGGTCTCCCATTCCCCGCCCGCAGTTGGTCAGAGTTCCATATGCACAGAGCATGCTCAGTCCTCACTGAGCTGTCTTGGATCCTTTCTCCTCCCCGCCGCCACCACTTAGTTTACTCCTAATTATTTTTGCATTTCTGCAACTTGTCTCATGTCTCCCTTTTGCGAACGAGCAGTGCCCTTTTGGCTACAGAATGATCCACATTCCGAGACCAGGTTTGCAATGAGAACATAGGATCCTGCGCAGTTCGTCATTGTGCAGAGAGAAAGTGTTTGCACGGAGCGGGGGATGAAATGGCAAGAGATGCGGCATAAAGGTAAAAGAGCAGAAGACCTTTGGAGCATCAAATCTTTGCATCACGCCAGTCCTTCATGCCACCCTCTCCAAGAGGTAGCGGATTACATCACGTTGCTCCATCCCACAGCCCAGCCAGGATAAACATAGCCAGCATTTGGACAGACACGCCACCTTCCCCTCCCCGCAACCCCTGAATAGCCCTTGCAACCCTTCAGAGGTGCCAGAATCCAAAGTCAGCCTTTAGGTACCTCTGCAATAAGCTGCCATCTGCCAGCATTGTGCAACTCTGTTGCCCTAGGTCAGAAGTTCTGTGCCCATGCTAAAAATACTGCTGGCTCATTAAATGCTGGAGTGGGTTGCTCAGTCCAACTCAATCATCTCTTTCCCCATCGGACCCCTCCCTCGCTTCTGCATATAAAGCGGCAGGCTTACTCCCTTCGGTTTTTCCATTGGCTTGCAAGTCACAGCCATGCTGACTTTCCTATTCCTGAGTATCTTGCTGCCTTCTGCAGCCATGCTTGCCCCTATCCTCACAGGCCCGCAGCAGCCGGCGGCTCTGCAGGAGGTAAACATTCTTTTCTACGGGGTAATGCAGTTCGCCAGCACGCTGAGTGACCTCTACGAGTCCACGACGCAGAAGCTTGACAAGATCAGACGCAGCTCCGACTTCTACGAGCGGGGCTTGGAGGAGCTGCGTCGTCAGACCCAAAGAGCCCAGCAGAAGCAGGAAGAGATCAGAGAGATTGTTGAGGGGCTGGAGGTAACTGTGTTTAAATTACAAGGGCAGGGGAAGGATGGAAGACAGCGCCAGCCCAGATTAAAAGGCATTGCACTACAGCAAAGCGGTAGCCATATTTTGTTGGTGGGACAACAGGGCCTTAACCAGCTTTATGAAATGCTGCCCCCCCACCCTTGCTGATTAGACAGGCAGCTATGATCCTTTGCTTCAGATGCCTTTTGAAAACTTTTCCTTTTTAAAAAAACCTCCCAGCTGAACTGTTGCTTTCAGTTCGCAGCCGATATGACAAAAAAAATGAGGATTTTTATTGTGCACTGTAATTTTGCTTACTGGCTGGTTTTTATATTACCGCATTGGCCTGAATATAAGCCACACCTTTCCCCCCAAATTCCGACTGGAAAAGTTAAAGTGCTGCTTATATTCGCAACCTTACGGTATGCGGCCAGGAGCGTGGGGCAAACAGCGCCAGGAGCGTGGCAAAGCAGCGCCCACCCCACACGGAGTCCCCCATCCTCTCCCCCAAGGCCTGGAAGGGAGACAGCGAGGAAGTGGAAAGGCTGCCAGCAACATAATGCAGCTTTCCTCCCCCCCCCCCTCAGGCTTATGTTTGGGTATTTTTTAATCCCCCCCTCCAATTTTAAAGGTGCGGTTTATATTCCGGGTGCGGCTTATATTCAGGCCAATGCGGTATATACTCTAGTCCATATCCAGATAGGTAGCCGTGTTGGTCTGCCATAGTCAAAACAAAAAAAATTCCTTCCAGTAGCACCTTAAAGACCAACTAAGTTAGTTCTTGGTATGAGCTTTCGTGTGCATGCACACTTCTTCAGATACAGTCCATAGTTTGGATATTCAGTCCATGGTTTGGATATTCTGTATATTCAGTCCATAGTTTGGATATTCAGTCCATAGTTTGGATATTCTGTGTTAAGCATTTTACAATTAAAAAACAAAAACAAATGAATAACGAAACCTAAGCAGGGGCTTACACCTATAGCTCCATATTCAATCTTGTAATCTTCCAACTATACAATGTTAAGTTTCCCTACCTAGTCCCCCCCCGCCAGGGTCCCAACTTCATCAGAGAGCCCCCTTGGTCAGTCTTCCTCATCCACCATTCCTGCTCTTTCTTTGATAGGATGAGAGCCTGGCAAGACGGCAGCAGGCTCACAGCAACAAGGAAGTGTTGCAGAAGATGCTTGCGGGCCAGCAGGACCTCGTGCGACAAGTGAAGGCGCTCGAAGGGATGCTGGCTATCGTAGAAGAGCGAGGTTTCCAAAATAAGGGACGGGAATTTTCTGCTTTGAAGGTAATCCGCCACCTTCTCCTCTGTAAGGTGGCACCCTAAGTCACTTGTTCTGGCCCCCTTGCAGTTTCTGCCACTCTGCTCTCCAAAATCTCTAGGGGGCTTGAAGAAGTGCCTAGACAAGTGAACTCTGAGCTAATCTGTACAGCATGAGAAGCCATCTCCATGTAGCCCCACTGATCACTACACTCAAACTTACAGATACAGTAATGAACCAACTCATGCATGGGTCAATGAACATGCAGTCATATGGACAATCTTGCCCATGGGTAGGCAAACTAAGGCCCGGGGGCCGGATCCGGCCCAATCACCTTCTAACTCTGGCCCGCAGACAGTCTGGGTATCAGCGTGTTTTTACATGAGTAGAATGTGTGCTTTTATTTAAAATGCATCTCTGGGTTATTTGTGGGGCATAGGAATTTGTTCATTTTCTCCAAAAAATATAGTCCGGCCCCCCATAAGGTCTGAGGGACAGTGGACCGGCCCCCTGCTGAAAAAGTTTGCTGACCCCTGATCTTGCCCCTCATCCCTCTAGCTCTTCCATTCATAGAGGGTGCAATCATTGAATGGGCCTTCTCCACAGAAGGAGGCATCCAACTGGTAGTGAAACCACAGCTCCACCAGAGGCTTCTAGCCTTCCAGTTCTCTCAAAAGCAACACACAGATGCTCAAAAGCTCAGTGGCAGCATCTCATTGCTCTGAAATATCAAGCCAGATCCCAACCCGTTTTAAACTCATAAGCTTATTTTCAGCTTATCCAAATCTCTTTTAAGGTACCGTCTGCTTTAACAGCATGAACAGCAAGGAGGGGTGTGCGTGGAGAGGCAGAGAGGGTAAGGATTAGGGCTTTCCGAGCTCAGTGCATAAATAAGACTAGGCAGTTATTTACTCCCAAGAGGGGAAGTACTGTTTTGGGGGGACAGGGGTCAGGCAGGTGTGGAGGACTCCCTGGTCCTTAATGGGGTAACTGTGCCCCTCAAGGACAAGGTGCGCAGCCTGGGAGTCATTTTGGACTCATAGCTGTCCATGGAGATGCAGGTCAATTCTGTGTCCAGGGCAGCTGTCTACCAGCTCCATCTGGCATGCCGGCTGAGACCCTACCTGCCTGCAGACAGTTTCGCCAGAGTGGTGCATGCTCTAGTTATCTCCTGCTTGGACTACTGCAATGCGCTCTACGTGGGGCTACCTTTGAAGGTGACCCGGAAACTACAAGTAATCCAGAATGCGTCAGCTAGTCTGGGGACTGGGAGTGGCTGCTGACACCATATAACACTGGTCCTGAAAGACCTACAATAGCTCCCTGTACATTTCCAAGCACAATTCAAAGCATTGGTGCTGACCTTTCAAGCCCTAAACGGCCTTCGGCCCAGTATACCTAAAGGAGCATCTTCACCCCCATCGTTCAGCCCAGACACTGAGGTCCAGCTCTGAGGACCTTCTGGCAGTTCCCTCACTGAGAGAAGTGAGGTTACAGGGAACCAGGCAGAGGGCCTTCTTGGTAATGGCGCCCATCCTGTGGAACGCTCTCCCATCAGATGTCAAGGAAATAAACAACTATCTGACTTTTAGAAGGCATCTGAAAGCAGCCCTGTTTAGGGATGTTTTATCGTGTTTTTAATATTCTGTTGGGAGCCGCCCAGAGTGGCTGGGGAAACACAGCCAGGTGGGTGGGGTATAAATAATAAATTATTGCTAAGTTATAGAAGGAAACCTGCATGTAAGCAGCAGCAGCAGCAGCAGTAGTACCTCTCTCTCATCCTGGATCTTGATATCAACTTGTCATAAGAGCACCACACTCCTCTCTCTATTAGCACTGCTAGCAAATTGAGCATGTTACCCCTTGCAGAAAGCATTAGTAATGGCTGCAACAGCTCTCCAGGATTGACTTCTTGGGTGAAGCAGAATACTAGGCTGAAATTGTGACTGTATTACAACCAGAAAACATCCCTATGGCACAGTCCTGCTGAGGAGGGATCATATTCTGCACTGGTTGTGAGGGGAAGGGGCAGAGAGAAGGCCTAATAACTGTATGAATTGATGGCCCAGAATGGGAAGTGAATGAAGTCAGGGTTTAGGAGTCCCCAGGGTTGTAAACTGAGATGACGAATCCCCTAGGGTTGCAGACTGAGATTAAGGGGTCTAAAACATCAGAAACTGCAAGCAATGGATAAAAGAACCCCCACCTCTCAGTTAACCGATATCCTCTCCCCTCAGGCACACATGCAACAACAGAATCTCACCATCTGGTCCCTGCTGAGAGCTACCCAACAGCAGCAGCAGCAAATGGCTCGGCAGACAGAACAGCTGCTCTGGATCCAAAGACTAGCAAGGCAAGAGGTGCTTCTTGGGGACGTTTCATAAACAAAGATCAAGTTAGTGTGTTGCTGTGATAAGGACAGCTCCTGGCTCAAAGCTGCTGCCATTTGCTAGTTGTGGTAACCATCTTTCTGATGCAGGGCACTCATGCCAAGATCTCAGTACTGTAAAGTACCCTTACTATAGTAATGGGCGCTGTGGTCTAAACCACTGAGCCTCTTGGGCTTGCCAATCGGAAGGTCGACGGTTCAAATCCCCGCAACGGAGTAAGCTCCCGTTGCTCTGTCCCAGATCCTGCCAACCTAGCACACCAGTGCAAGCAGATAAATATGTACCACTGTGGCAGAAAGGTAAACGGCGTTTCCATGTGCTCTGGTTTCCGTCACGGTGTCCTGTTGTGCCAGAAGCAGTTTAGTCATGCTGGCCACATGACCCGGAAGCTGTCTGTGGACAAATGCCGGCTCCCTTGGCCTGAAAGTGAGATGAGCGCCGCAACCCCATTCTCGCCTTTGACTGGACTTAACCATCCAGGGGTCCTTTACCTTTTCTTTTTTTAACCTATAGTAATAACCATGGGAGGGTACCAGAGGAGGGAAGAAACAAGTCTGATCCCCAATACACAAAGTGCAACACACCTGCCTCTAACTTGCTAAGAAAGCAAAGACGAGGACATACGCTAAGAGCCCAGGCCTCTGGGCCCACAAATAAGGAATTCCACCTGAAGGAACATAGGTTTGATCTTTGTGATCCACTTGCTTAATGCCGCCTTACTTGTCCTTTTTTCCAGATGAAGAACCACAAAGTTGTGAAGCTGAACGTGGGGGACCTGGACAAAGACACCACAGCAACATTCATGCCAAAGAGGGGATCGTGATTTTTGGAGCAGAAAACCTTCTGCTCGCAGCGGCTTGGTGGCAACTATTTGCACCTGTCCTGAAACATGGCTGATTGTGTCATAGCATCCACAGGGTGGCCAGTAGGAGATCAGCAGCAGGCTAGAAGAATCATCCAGCCTCATGACGAGAACTCTCCAACACCTGCCTCACCTAATCTAAATATGTAGATCCTCACCTTCTGAAGTGAGGAACTGCGAGTCCTCCGAAGGATCTTTAGAAAAGTCGCAGTATCAGCAAAACAAGCAACCTTTCTGAAAGCTACATTGCCTTACCCAAGGCTACTGACTGCTGCATCAGAGATGGATCTCATTATACAGAGCACATTATGTGTACACACTGAACATCTGCTTTTCAGTGTGGATGGGCATTCTGCGCTGCAATACTGCCTTGGCTGCCAGGGCTTACCAGGAATGAGAGTACAATATTATGAGTGCTTCACCAGATCAGATACTGGAAGAAGCCACAACAGTTGCTGCCAAAGGACTACAGTTTTATCTACTGTGCGCCGAAAAAGATCTGGGTCATTATTCAGTATGATGACAGCGGCAGCTGAACACTTAAGGCCAGAATCTTGGTGCTGAACTCATGACAACCCTGTGGTCATATTGCTATATAGCAACCTGCAGCCTGACAGGCGATGGGAGGAAGCTGGCAGCTTGTCACAGTTTCACTTAAAATTAGTACTGAGAACTGCAAGATCAACCAAGGAGAAACTCATCCCTTTATTCCTGAGCACACAGTTTTAAGGAGTCAACACACATTATTCACAGAGGGCTAGGATAATGAGTGGAAGTCCTGAGCGGAGCTTCCTATAAAGGGAGGCAGCTTGTTGGCAACTAAGAAAAAACAGGTTACAGATGAACTGGTGGAGAAGGAGAGGGAACGAAAGCTGCAACCAATACCTTGTTCAACCAATATCAGTTTGCCATTGTAGCATTTGTTTCTGCCACTTCAGAATACAGAGGAATTCAGTACCACAAGGTTGAAAAGATCAGAGCTGAAAAGCACAGAATTTAAGCACCACAAAGCGCACAAAACAGAGCTGCTTTTCCACCCGCTGGCCAGCAAAGCTGCCTTGAACCTACCTGTACGTTGTGTGCGGTGTGTAGACTTCCTTGACTGGAAACTCTAGGATCTCCTTGGTGGGTCGGACTCGGAGGTCAGGATAGGGCAGCACATGCAGAAGTTCCGGCGACAGGCAGTAATGGGGGTTCTCCGGCACAGGAGAAATGTCGATCTTGAGCTGGGCTGCGAGGCAAAAACAAGAGGGTGTGGGGTGTGGGGGTGTAAGGAGAGTTTGCATACAGAAGCCAACATGACAAAACTGACAGACCTCTGAGACCGAGAATGTGCGGTAGAGGGCTGGAGAGTTCTAGGGTTATTGAGTTTCCTGATCTCTATTATATCACAAAGAAGAATGAGCGCACACACAGATTGCACAAGGAATGGAAACAGACAACAGAAGCTATAGAGAGGCCTCCTTCACCTCAAACAGAGAACAATGATGAAGGATGGTTTAAAAACTTTTAAAATAATAATAAACTATGCTGATTTGCTCTTGCTCTCATTTGACTGGATTCTGAAACACCTACAGCTATTTCTTGTAATGACTGATCTTTCTGCCTCACTTTGGGAGGAAACTGAACACAAACACAGACACACACACACACACACACACACACAGAGAGAGAGAGAGAGAGAGAGAGAGAGAGAGAGAGAGAAGAGAGAGTGAGAGAGTGACTTTTTCTCTGCTTTCTGTTCTCAGGAACCATTTCCTGCTCTTGGCAAAAGTGGGATCTGGCCAAAGAGTTTTATTGCTTTTGTCACAACAGACTACACGGCTACCACAATCAACACCAGCTCCAGAATTTCCCACTCCACAGAGCTCTCAACAAGAGGCAGTGTCTTGTCACAGGCTGATTTACAGGCACCCAACTTACCTGTGACTGGTCGGAGCCTTCTTAGGACAGATGATGGCCGCCTCATGTCTGCCAGGAACTTGTATAGGTCCTCATCACTGAGGCGATCACCTTCCTAGAGGTGTTTTTTTTTGGGGGGGGAGAGGAAAAGAGAAGGGGAGAGTTGAACCAGAACAGGAGAATAACATCCACCAAGACAGTGGCATTAAGACCCTCAGTGGATGTGGCACTGCTCTAGCAATACTTGTTCCAATTTACTCATTAACCCTATGTATAGACTGTTCACTGCATTGCACTGCTATGACCATTTCCAATAAATCTAAAAACATAATACAAGGAAACACATCAAAGCATACATAGGAAAAAAATCCAATCTTAAACCATTACAAATGATTGTTTGAGCGGTAAAGTACAAGATAAGATCTTGACACCAGACTGAAATAAAGCAATTCACCTGATGCCCTGAATTGGATTTTAACCTACATCAGAAACTCATTAACAGAGAGGCAGTATAAGCCTCTAGGGACAGGGAATTTCACGACTGGGGCACCACTACAGAGAAGGCGTTGCCAAACAAGTAGACGTGAGAGGCATCCGCGATATTCCTCAGGTTCATTTTAAGACTCTGCCAGAACGTATACTTCATTGTATACAACTTAACTTTCAAAGTCATAAATTGCAAGTCACTTGAAGGTTCTGTCGAGGATCTAAAGCTCTGTTAGAGCGTACAAGTTCTGAACATGCACTGAAGACTCTTGTGGAAAGTGCTTGAAAATCTTGAAGTTGTAAGAAAAGGAGGGGCTCTGCAAATAAAGGCACAGAATCCTGCTGGGCCCTGAGCTGTGACCATACCCCACCTTCAATCCATTTCCCAGCATTTTATGGTGTGTGGGGTAAACACTGAAAGAAGAATTGCAAGCTTCTTATGAGGAAAGAGAAAATTCTCTAGCGCAAACAGGTAATTGCCTGCAAATCTCTGGTCCTGTTAGCTGCACTCCTACAGATGTGAAAACCAAAAGACAGTGATATTATGAATCAGTCCAGACAGCCCAGACTCCAAGCCTCCCACCTGCTTGAAGAAGTTGGTGACGGTGAGGGTAGCTGGGCGGAAGTTGCTGAAGCTGCACATCTCCTCCCCAACACTCATGCGCTCGTATGTTTTCCTTTTGCGCTCATTCCAGGTTCCCTTGCGGTCTAGAACAGAGGAAGATATGTTCAATAGGTGAGGTGCACACATGCACAAATAAGGAGTCATATTTAGGCAACAGGCAACAGTGAGAAGAGAACCGGGTTCTGCTAGGAACTCATGCTTGGTATTAGGTGAGTGGCTATCACTGCCTCTCAGCATCATGTCCACAGCACTGGGGAGGGGGGTGTGGCCTACTTCGCAAGGTTGTTGTGAGGGCAAACCTAATGGAGACCACAACGCTGTACAACAGCACATTTTGCAGAAACTACAATGGGGACGCGGGTGGCGCTGTGGGTAAAAGCCTCAGCGCCTAGGGCTTGCCAATCGAAAGGTCGGCAGTTCGAATCCCCGCAGCGGGGTACGCGCCCGTTGCTCGGTCCCAGCGCCGGCCAACCTAGCAGTTCGAAAGCACCCCCAGGTGCAAGTGGATAAATAGGGACCGCTTACTAGCGGGAAGGTAAACGGCGTTTCCGTGTGCTGCGCTGGCTTGCCAGATGCAGCTTTGTCACGCTGGCCACGTGACCCGGAAGTGTCTCTGGACAGCGCTGGCCCCTGGCCTCTTAAGTGAGATGGGCGCACAACCCCAGAGTTTGGCAAGACTGGCCCGTACGGGAAGGGGTACCTTTACCTTTACCCACAAGCTTCCTCAACAACTTAGAAGAGTTGTTTCTACAAAACCAATAGGTGTCCCACAATAACACTGGAACCAGCTTTTCTAAAGTAGTGCAGTATTGTCCCTTGACAAATACCTTACAATTTGCAATGTAAACGAACTTCAGAATCTCCAGCCCAACGAAGGGGAGCTGAATCACTCATGTCATGCAGGTTTACACTAAAGCGATAAATGATTGATCATGGCCAAGAAAACTAAACCCCTTTATCTGTCAGTTTGCTACGGAGGTGGTACATTGCACTATGCTCTATGGAGGCAGATGTACAGACACTGAGGCCCCTGCAGTTAATTAAAAAAACCCATTTAGTAGACATGGTGTAATGTGTAGTAAATTACACTTGAAGTCTGCCGTACAGAGCACTCAGAAGAGGCTCCTCATCCTCAATTTTTCTCTGCTGATAGGTTGAAGGAGTCAGCATACCCTTGTTTGAAGAAAGGAGAGCAAAATGTAGAAACTGCCGCTTCCTTTGTCTCAGTCTCTAGCTCATGAACATAAACAAACTACCTCATTCTACATTTCTGTACTGCGAGCTTTAGGGCTGCATGGACATGACTGCAAATTTGTGGCTTGATTTTACTCTGTTTGTAATGCTAGCATGCTGTGAGTCAGCTTTAAACTATTCCTGTGATGCACAACTGCCAGTTACAAGTCATCTCATTTCTGATTATAAACATACGGTGCAATCTGTGGCATTGTTGTTGTTGTTGTTGTTACATCCCACCATTCCTTCAAGGAGCTCAAAGTGGCTTACAAAGTTCTCCTCCCCATTTTATCCTCACAAGAACCCTGTGAGGTAGATCAGGCTGAGAGTGTGTGACTGGCCCAAGGTCACCCAGTGAGCTTCATGACCATTTGGGAATTTAAACTTGGGTCCCAGTCTGACACTCTAACCCCGGCATTGGTGAACTCGGCCCTCCAGATGTTTTGGGACTACAACTCCCATCATCCCTAGCTAACAGGACTAGTGGTCAGGGATGATGGGAACTGTAGTCCCAAATCATCTGGATGGCTGAGTTTGCCTATGCCTGCTCTAACCACTACATCACACTGCCTCCGTTCCTGAGGTTCCTTTGGACAAAAGCTCCATGTAACTGGGAAAAAGCAGCGTCAGCAGCCAACTCCCCACAGGACAGGAAGCATCCTTTCTCACAGAGCTTGGTCACAGCACTATACTCACCACTCTCCGAGTCAGAAGCATCCCTCTCAAGCATCCCAGTGCTGTTGATTATATTCACGAGGTGGATGGCAGTCCAGGCAAATGGCATGCGATACCTTCCCAGACGGGTGCAGAACTGCTCTCCTGCCACCCGCAGCTTCTCCAGCTTCTCTTTATTCTGGAAGCACAAGGGGGGAGAAATCAGGATTGCAAACTTTTTATAAAAGAATGGATATGGTTTATTGAATATTTGCAAATAAACTGTAAACAGATAGGAACAATGGCAGGATTACTGTAATAACCTGCCGTTTTATAAGAGTATACATTTAAAAAAGATGCATAAATGATTAAGTTAATTTGGAATATGCAGAAAATATTAAAAAAAAAATTTAAGGAACCGCAGAAAGAAGGGGAAGGAAGTCGAGTTTCAAAATGTTAAAATGATTGTAAAATTATTGAAATGTATAAAATTGAAAATCATAAATAAAAATTAAAAAAGGAAGCACAAGGGGGGAAACTTCACCATTACTGTGACCAAACTGTAAATGCTGAACCCCCTATGACACCCACCCATAAAATAAACCTGTAAAGCAGGCCATTTTCATTCCATTGAGAACATGCAAGAGGTCATCCCAGGCATCCAGGGATTTAATGATACAGGTAGAATTGAAACCCGGGGCCAAGTCTAGCATGCTAGCTAGCTAACACACACACACACACACACACACACACACACACAGAGAGAGAGAGAGAGTGCATGGCCAAGAACCCAACTGCTTCCTTATCATACACACACACACACACACACACACACACACAAACAAACAAACACACACACACAGCACAGCCAGGAACCCAACTGCTTCCTCATCTTGCTTCCATCTACCTACCTTCAGAGCATCGGTCTCCTTCATGACCATGTATGGCTCACAGCATTCACTGATGTCCCCTTGCTGCAGCACCTTCTCCAGCTGGGCAGGGAAAGGAAAAGCAAGTTACTGGTGATGAAGTCTAGCAGATGCCTTGGAAGTTCCCAAATATTAAACCGAGAGTGCTGTGAGCTCCACCTCAAGTTCTACAACTAGCCCTGACGAGAGAGGCCTGCAACCAGAGAGTCCTCTCAGCTGTCCCTGAAGCTAAGGAAAGATGAAAAGTCCTGCACCTAGAGCTGGGCTTACGCAGTACTTGAAAAGAAAATATGGGGCAAGGAGAACAAAATTGTGTTCTGCACTATGTAATTACTTTTCTTTTGCTTATGTTTCTTTTGCATTATTCATTCAGCTAACCAAAACCATAAGCAAAATGAAAAAGAATGGGCCCTCCCAGACCTCACTCCAGTTTCAGAGAGTCTGCTAGACATCGCCCACACACATTCAAATCTCCCTCCAAACCCATAGGGACTAGAAACATGTTTTGTTTTGATTTGAGGACAGCTGAGATTCTCAGGTTGCTAATTCTGATGCCCAGCTCAAACAAGCTATTTTCCTGCACTCACGGAAGGAGGCAGAACGTATGTGCCTCCACTGCTCGCACAGCGCTTGCCAGAATGGCTGCAAAGGGGGATGAGCTCTGGAGGCGTGACTGAAGATCAAACATCTCACCTTGATCACTAAGAATATATCTGGAGAAGGATGTGTGAGGGAGAAGATGGCCGAACGAGCCAGCGTGGAGATAGCAGGGTGGGCACTGTGCGCTCGCAGAAGCCCCTTCATGTGCTCCGAATTGAGGTCAAAATAGAAGTTTTCAGAGATCTAGAAAAGTTGGGGAAATGGAAGAAGCCGGGCAAAGTTACCATGCACTCGAGACCCACTCCCAACCCGACAGCAATAAAAGCAACAAAGCTGGGAGAACCACAACAGTCAGAGGACTTTAGATCTGGACAAGGCCTATCCACTGTGGGCTTGAAATCTGGCTTGCTGTCACCACCACTACTGTAACAAGACACCTGGGCCTTCTCCTTCCTGCAGCCAGAGAGCAGCAGCCCTGTTTCCCACTGGCTTCTGCCAGATCTGCCTGGTTCCACACAGTAGTTTCCTGAGGCGCTTACTAAAGCCAAACTTAGGAGACTGTGCTGGGGAGAAGAGAGGGGCCTCCAGCTACACTTGTCAATTACAGTGGTACCTTTGGTTTAAGAACAACTTAGTTTATGAAAACTTGGATTAAGAACACTGCAAACCCGGAAGTAGGTGTTTTGGTTTGCGAACTTTGCCTTGGAAGCAGAACATGTTGAGTATGTTCCATTTGTAAATTGAGTCCCCCGCTGCTATGGGAGAGCACGCCTTGGTTTAAGAATGCTTTGGTTTAAGAACGGGCTTCCAGAACGGATTAAGTTCATAAACCAAGGTACTACTGTATATCGTTATAACTGCATTATAAACATGTGGCACCAGATGGTGCTATAGAGCAGCGATCCGTCACCAATGGGATTTTCCATTAAGAGCTTTTATAGCGTTTTTTTCCATAGCATTTTTTAAAATCTGTATAGATCCAGCCAGAGAGAACTAAAGGCACAGAGACTAAAGGCAGCAGGGCATGCAGCTGGCTAGGCTTCTCACTGCAGCTGAAGTCACCCTGTGTCCTTGGGATCGGAGTGAGGGATCAGATAAAGCACAGTCTGAAGGCACCTGCATAGCTGCTGCCTGCAGAATGCTCTGATCCACCTTTCCCTCCTGGCTCAGCTGAGGCAGTTCATTCTCCTGCCTTTGAAACTCCTCTAACTAGAAGGAAGCGCTTGAGGCAGGAACCCACAAGAGTTTGCAACACTAACTGAAGGCAGGGCAATAGCTAGGGGAGAAAACGCCCCCTTTCCTCCAAAATGTCTGGAGGCGGTTCCTACCTGTTATAGAACAGGAAGAGACTGCAGACTGCTCTGATTCCAGGGGAACTAGCAAGAAGACACATCAAGTAGACTTGTATATGTGCTGCATGGACAAAATCAAGAGCATCTCCAACCCAGCGCTTCCTATGTCTATCAAACTAGTCTTTCAAACATCTCAGCAATTTTAGGCAACTGACCAATTTGCATCCTACCTTGCTATGCTTTGCTCTCTGCCCATTTTATAAAATGGTCCTGCTTCTAGCTTTAAAGACAAGTATTGCTCAGAATCACAGAGTAGTACCTTCTTCTTCTCCTTCACATCGTAAAGCGCTAGCGATCCAAAGATCGGTTCGATTTCGATCTCAAACCTGCTCCATGGAAGGGTATGAGAAAGAGAGAGAGAGAGATGGTTCAGTGAGAAAACAACCATACGTCAACCATAGCCAGCAGTGCACCTTGTGCTGTCCATGAACATGGGCACCTCTTGGCAAAGCAACAAGGTGCCTTCTTCCCAATGCAATTGCAGGTTGTTTGCAATTTAGCATGGGGGCCTCTTGTATGGACTGAACCTAGTGCCAGTGCTGCTCTCCACCATGAGATGACTGGAAACAGAGGCATGCACACCCTCCAGTGAGAACAGTACATAAGAAATGGGCCCCTGGATTCAGAATTTGGTTTTCCGCAGAGACAGCTTTGAAATCGTCCAGCAAAGTGTCATGTAATTCTACTCAATACTGATCCAGAGCAGAACTCCAATGTATAGTTAGCAGAGTAAAACTTAAACACGTTGCAGGATTCCCCCCAAAAATAGACCAGATGCAATTAATATTTCATCCAGCAGAGCTTTACTGCCACTGAAGGCAAATGAGCATAATGGTCACAAATCCAATACACTCAGGACTGGCACCGTCCATAAGAAAGCCAGTTGCAGCAGACTTAACTTACAATAAGACTAAACCTTAACACTAAGCGTACTATGTATAGAACACCACACCAGAAGGAAAAGAGATAGAAAGAGAAAGTGAAACCCAGGCTCCTTCTGGCTTATTATTAAAGTCAGCATGACCTTGACAGAAGAGATAACAGAACCAGTTTAAGCCAGCTGTACTCAGCTTCTCTGAAGGAATAACCCAAACATCATGAAACCTTCTGCTTGTTTCTTTCACACAGAGAAGCTTCCAGAACCCTCTTGAATTACCGTATTTTTCGCTCTCTAAGATGCATCTTTTCCCTCCTAAAAAGTAAGGGGAAATGTGCGTGTGCGTCTTATGGAGCGAATGCAGGTGCGCGGCTATCCCAGAAGCCAGAACAGCAAGAGGCTATCCCAGAAGCCAGATCCCTCTTGCTTTTCTGGCTTCTGGGATTCAGAATATTTTTTTTCTTGTTTTCCTCCTCCAAAAACTAGGTGTGTCTTATCGTCTGGTGTGTCTTATAGAGAGAAAAATACGGCAATTAAATAGGAAAGAATTCTGACATCTGATCAATACTTTCTGCACTAAGAAATGCAAACTGACACAAAGTTCACCCAGGGCCTCACACCCTTTGCACAGCACCGCACCCTGAAGCATTTGTGAAAAGCACTCCAATGGACCCAAACTTCCATGCAGGTCCTACTTTGAGTTTGGTTTGGCAAATAAAAAGTGACTTACTTCAGAGACAAACACTTCACCAGGATCCTCTGACCAAAGTGCTCCTTGGGAACTTCTGGGATGCTACAGCGTTCTACTGCCTCATCCTGAAAAGATAAAGGGAAGCACATCATCTATACAACCATGTGCTTAGCGCTAGGAAAACAGTATCAGAGCTTGCTAGAACAAAAGTGAGTCCAAACAGAGTGTCAAGGAAGAGCCTCGACAGTTCTGAGATCTCTGGAGGAGGAGGAAAGGAGGGATGCCAGGCAAAGTAATGATCCCTCCTACTCCTCTTTCTTGACAAAACCACTTAAAAAGAATGACAAGACTGTGGTGGTTCTTCCTCCAACCTTTACCACTCAGCAAAGTCTGTGGCCGTCAAAGCATCCTCTGCACAACCTGCCGAAGAGGCAAACGGGCACCTTCTAATCCTCATCAGCCCGCATCCAAACATGTCTGCCATCTCCTGGATGCTACAGGATCATGAAAAAGCTACTGGAATCTCAGGGCCTGCGCTCACCTCATCTGGGGCCGGGTAAAGGGCCAGGATTTCACTGTGCCGGTTCTTCTTGCGCAGCTCCTCATTTGTGCGGTCAGTCTCTTCAATGGCAGTGCGCACCAAGAGAGAGCGCAACAAGAAGTCGGCCGCTGAGTTCTTCAAGTCAAAGATGCTGGAGGCCCAGCTGCCACGGGGTGTATCATCGAGGGAGGTGGAGCAGCGCTTCAGGTCATCCTGGAAGGGGCAAGGAATACCTGATGTTATGGTAAAAGGCCTTGTCCCCCACAGCATTGCCTTGCCGAGAGCCACATTGTCTTCCTACTGACAACAGCAAACTTCACAGAGAATCTAGCAAATGCACAGCAGCCCAGAGCATTTCTCCAGGCTCAGCATACCGTATTTTTCTATGTATAACACCCCCCCCCCCGTGTATAAGACACCCCAACCCATTTTGGGGGGCTCAAAATTAAGAAAATGGGGGGGAATTGCCCAGAGTCGTTGAGCTTTTTGGGGGGGACATGATGCAGAAGCATCCAGTCGTATTTCTGCTCGCCGTCAGCAGCTGCCAATCACCCGCCCAATTGCTGCAGCAGCGCCCGATCGACAGCAGCCATTGCCGCAGCCACCAATCACCCGCACTAGCACTAGCAGAGTGAAACTTAAACACGTTGCAGGATTCCCAAAAAATAGACCAGAGGCAATTAATATTCCATCCAGAAGAGCTTTACTGCTACTGAAGGCCAGTGAGCATAATTCTCACAAATCTAATACATTCAGGATTGGCACTATCCATAAGAAATCCAGTTGCAGCAGACTTAACATAAACTTACAATAACTTACAGTAAGACTAAACCTTAACACTAAGCATACTATGTACAGAACACCACACCAGAAGGAAAAGAGATAGAAAGAGAGAATGAAACCCAGGCTCCTTCTGGCCTATTATCATATTCCGCATGACCTTCACAGAAGAGATAACAAAACAAGTTTAAGCTGGAACTCAGCTTCTCCGAAGGAATAACCCAAACACCATGAACTTTCTGCTTGTTTCTTTCACACAGAAAAGCTTCCAGAACCCTCCTGAATTAAGTAGAATAGGAAAATCTCTACACATCTGATCAATACTTTCTGCAATAAGAAATGCAAAGTGACTCTCAGCAAAGGAAGGATGGATACAAAAACTTATAGAATATGCAGAAATGGTGAAGCTTACCAGAAGAATAAGAAATCAAACTTGTTATAACAGAATAGAAATGGTGTATTGAATATTTAAATTGTAAACAGATAAGAACAGATAAATTGTAAACAGATAAGAACATTGGCAGGATTATTGTAATAACCTCCAGTTTTATAAGAGTACATATTTAAAGTAGATGAATAAATGAGCAAATTAAGTAAATTTGGAACCGCAAAAAGAGGGGGAAGGAAGTAAAACTTTGAAATGTCAAAACGATTGTAAAATTAGTGAAATGTATAAACCTGAAAAGCGTAAATAAATTTTTAAAAAAGAAAAGAAATGCAAACTAACAGAACTCCACCCCACCCCCACCCCAAAAAAGATGCTCTTTAATATTATATTGTGACTCTTTGCTCATGGATCCCATAGAGCAGTGTTTCCCAACCTTGGGCCTCCAGCTGTTTTTGAACTACAATTCCCATCATCCCTGACCACTGCTCTTGCTAGCTAGGGATGATGGGAGTTGTAGTCCAAAAACAGCTGGAGGCCCAAGGTTGGGCAACACTGCCATAGAGGACACAGAAGAGCTGCTCCAACATGCTAGATTTCACAAATCTGACTTGACTTACCGAATCCCCCTGACTGCTCCGCTCTTCAGCTACTTCATCAAGTTCAAAGACTTGCCTAGGCAGCCCCTTCTGCCTCTCCCTTTGCCTCTCGGCCGTAATAGCATTGTACATGGTGCTCAGCCTTTGGTACCTGAACCAGAGCAGAAGAAACTGTGATGATAATGCCTGCTGGGAACCTTTGCGACTTAAAATGCAGAGACTTTAAAAGACAATCACATCAACCTCTACAAAGGTGCCATTCACCTTGCTACGAATATTTCAGGTATGCAAAAAGGATTATAATTTAATCTCAGAGATCCCCCAAAAGGGGGTGACTTCTTCCCTTTATACAATGCGCCCAATGTGTTTCAGCCCAAAATGCCTCTGCCAAGGGCTTCTCTAAAAAGATCATACAATATTCATTACACAATTGTCCAGTCACAGAATAAAAATGGTTTAAAAACTGAGAATGTATTATATTAAAAATTCTAGCAAGTCAGATATACGATGAAAAACTTGTGTTAAACTGGAAGCAGCCATAACACACACACACAAAAAAATTAAAAAGAGAAACCTAATACTGTACAAAAGACCAGCTTTATTTCTTACCAAACCAAGCTCAAAAGTTTGTGTTGTTAAAAGAAACTGATAGGGCAAAAAAGCTTGTAGGAGGACCACATCAACCTGTGCATTTAAATACTTTATGCCAAACACAGGTGTCTTAACTTCACTAACAAGGAGATATTTGTTTCTCTTTTTTCTATGCAAACTTTGGCTGCTTCCTGATTTTTTGTATGAATACTTCTGGGCAACACAGTTTATTGTAGGGTATCTCATTGGGGTTCCTCCATTGCAATAAAGCTAGGGGAACTTTCCAGCACAATTTGGTTGAGTGAATGGGGGAGGGGAAGACAGAATAGCAGCACCAGAAAGGCAGGAAGAAGGAAAACCAAAAATTGGAAGGGAGGGAAATTGTGATATTATGAAGACGGCCTGTATGTCCTTTGTGGAACAGTCTAAATGTAAAAGTAAGCCGTTTTGGAACTGCTGCCCTAAACTGCTTTGAGAACTTTGCTGAAAAATTATATGTGGGTATTTTATAGCCAGAGGCTACTGTTTGCGCAGAATGCTGCAGCACAATTGCAGACAGAAGTGAGGACTTGTCAGCATATAACTCAAAGCTCTGCACTGGTTGCCAATCAGCTACCAGGTCAGGTTCAAGGTGTTGCTCTTAGGCTCTTAGGTGTTGCTCTTGGCCACGACTGGGCCTACTGGTCAGGGGTCCCTTTACCTTTACCCAGATGCTTAGAAAGGTTGGTGTGAAGTTTAATCTGCTTTAGTATTTAATATTTAGTTTTAGTATTTTGTATCTACTCACTGGGTTTACCTGGTTAGGAAGGCAAGTCATCAATCACAGGCTGCAAGGCTGCAATCCAGAACATATACTATGGCTCATCTGAATGAAGCAACTTTTCCACCGCTACGGAATGACCGCTGAAGCAATAATTATGCAGTAATTGAAAGGACTTGGGCAACTAGGGCTCTGGCTATCAAATGGCCAATTATAAGCAGATACAATTATTACACTACAAGGATTTACTCCAACGCAATCTTAAGGAAGTTCCATAGAAAGTTAGGAATTTCCCTCCAACTGCTCTAGCCCTTCCACTGACACTTCAGAGGGCTGGAGGATGAGTGAATAACAGCTTGTGGGAAGGTGCATGTCACGGCTAGTCCAGGTGGAAGTAAGAGGAGTCTAATACTGTAGGTTCCTTTAGTTAGAATAATGTTTGTTTAAAATCTTTTTTCAGTTTGAAACGCAGCACTCCCCTACCAAAGTTTCCTTCTGTTAGGTCCATATTTAATCCACATCCAAAAAGATTAAGCACTGTCAGCAAATTTCACCACCGCCACAATAACAAAGAATCAGTCTTTGCAATCCTTTCTCAAAGAAGAGGTACAGAGCTACCCAACCTACTTTCTTTGGACCATGACCCAGTCTTCTGTGTAGACTTGTACAGCGTCTCGTACGCGAGCATCCTGCTTCCTGGAGAAGAATGAAAGAGGAAGAAAAGCAGGCTAGTAAAAATGTTGACAGGTTGGTAACATCCAAAGACCTATCTGCAAGGAGAGATAAGGATCAAATTTCTCTCCAGATGTTTTGCTTCCACGCCTTTATTAAACAACAGATAATACCTTCTGGATATTCTTTTTTCTCACATAGAAACAAATTAAAAATGTGGCCCTTGAAAACTACTATCCTTAGTGCTTGGTAAACACTACAATAAGAGCCTCCTTGTGCTTTGACTCTGAGCCTACATGTGTTCCTGGGTTTTTAGCAGCAGTCAAGAGTAGGCTTTCCCCCCTTCTATTTGAAAAGATGGTCATTACTTCCTATGAGCACGGTGAACTGGATAGTTTTTGTGATGATTTCTGCATCTTAGTGCCATGACGAATAGTGCACTGATGTCTATTTTCCCTGTTAATATGTTATTTCCTCTGTGGGATTATCAAAAAGGCAGAATTGTGAAAACCCTTCAGAATTTTTATCCACATATCTTAGGGGAAAGACCTGTAAGCAGAACCCACAAGGGGTTTATCTTGTAAAATCCCAGATGACTTTCAAGAATGACCTACACCTCTTCACACTTAAGTCTCCTTTGGGAATTAAATGGATGCCTTCCCAAAAGCTTTATGCGGATGCAAAAAATCAGTTATATTGCCATTTAAATCAGTCTTCCAAAGCGGCATTCAGCCACGCTGAAATTGTTAATGTGAAGATTAAAAAATAGTCTTTGCCTACCACGTTTTCACTGGTCAATACTGCAGAACTCACAAGTTCTAATGCAGAAAACTGCCAGCAAATTGCCAAGTTCTTTTTCCTTGGCAACTCTTACATACGACTGTCCTGAGGTGAAGGGGGCTCTGCAATGAAAGGCCTGCAGGAGTAAATGGAAGCAGAGGTGCTTATCACAAGTATAGGAAGAATCCACAATCCACAATTAATAACCCCACCACTTACTCATCTTCAGGGATGCCAGGTTCCAGTGTTCGACAGTCCCGTGTTTGGTGAATCACCTCCAGGTCATCTGTGGGAAATTCAACCAGATCACGAAGTGGACCGGGCTCAGCATCTGGCACGTGGCTGTCAAGGTACTCCTCAAAGTCTACGGGCTCCACCACTTCTGTCAGAGGCACCTTAGAGAAGAAGGTCAAGGAGTGGGGGTAAGGAAGAGGAACCTACAAGTCAGAAAGTCTTTAGCGCTCAATCAGAGCAAATGGCCATTTGGGGTTTCTCCGGATTGATGTTGGCTCTGATTTAGAGCCAAACAGAGATTTTTCCCTGTCCAAGAGATATGCCTCCTCCTCTTTTGGCTGCAGGCCTGACTGGGTGGAGGTTGTTTGCATGAAATTAAGTACAAATAAGAAGCTACAGCAATATTTTTTTTAAAAAAAACAAACACAATTGTATATGTCTTTGCTTTCAATTTGTATTGCATTGTTTTATGCACTGTGACTTGCTGTTACTTTTTATTGATTACAGTTCAGAACAGTGTTTCCCAAAGTGGGCGGATCACCATTTGCTTTGATTTTTCGCTAAACAGCGGTTTTTCCCTCGAAAGCGAGAGTCAAGCAGAAAACTGCTCAGGGTCCCTCCTTTCTAGGCACGGGACAAGCAGGAGTGTGGACAAGCTTTCACTTGCTGAAGTTGTCTGGTGTGCCTGAATCACTCCTAGCTGTAGCACATCGTAACAAGGATGATAAGGATTTGTCCCAAGGCCTGAGTCTGGTATTCTCCATTTTATAGACTGGGAAATGGATGAATCCATGATTCCAACATGTTTCCAACATCCCCATGAATCCATGATTCCAACATGCTTCAGGTAAATGCCCACTACTACCACCAAGTTAGACTATGAAAGCTAAGGAAAAAGTGTGTGAATTCCACACACCTCACCTCTTCCCCTCAGTCCAACAGAGGAGTCAGAGAAATACAGAGGTTTGGGGGGGGGGGTTTCTTGGTCCTTCACAGAAGTTTCTGACAGAGGCGCCTCCCTTCATCTTGAAGGACAACAACAGGCCTGAGGGAGTTGCAGTCCTTCCAAGATGAAGCTTCAAGAGAATGCATAAACCAAGGTGAGGAAGACTGCAGGAGCTCATCTTTAAGACTAGTAAATTTAGTCCAGTTCCCACCACAATGCCCAACTAACCAGCACAAAAGTCATCTGAGCCACCACAACACATAGCTCTGCTCTTAAATTATTACAATTACAACATAGTCTAAGTGACTTTGTTGAGCACTATTGTTCAGAGAGGAGCAAGAAGAAACAGGTGCTGTGGGGAGGAGAAGAAAGACCCCTTCGTTTCCTCAAGGCACAATTAACACTGCATGTCACAGGCCACTTGGAAACTGTCCAAATGCAAGCATTTGTTCTTATGACAAATGGCAAAAGCTAAATTTTCTCTCCCTCCCATCTCCACCAACTGTCTTGCTGTTGCTGAGCAAGGGAGAGAGCCTACTGAGAGGCTAGGCTCTCTTCTTCTGATAGCTTCTCAGGCACAATGAAACCAGGGAGGAATCCCCTGAAAAAGCCAGAGACAAAATGACAGAGAGACCTGCAAGAAGGGAAGAATGGGGAGAGGAACCAAGCACAGAGGTCTGGGAGACTAAAACTATTTTCAAAGACACCCAGCCAAACCCCACTCAAAAGTTTCCAATTTCAAACTCCTTCACACCTGGGAAATTGAAATCCACCTTGTCCTCACCCAATAGCTGCTTTAGGAAACACTACATAAGGGAAGCCCAGGAGTTTTGAGAAGGCCACAGATGTATGTATGTTTGTTTGTTTGTTTGTTTTAAAGCTGAAACTCCAGAAAATACAGCATAGTCTCTACAGCTGTTCTGGTCCTTATGCCACCCAGGAAGAACAAATAAAATGCAGCCAATATCAGAGATTGGGACTCTACTATTTGGATTGGGACTGGAGGTGGACTAGAGGAATAACGCAACTAATTCATATGTAGCCATGGTTCCCCAATACGCTTCTTGGAGAAATGAAAGGAGATATTAGTGGTTCTTAAGCTTCTTCCAATTTTCCATCTCTGAAGAGGCCTCAGGTAGGTCCATAGTGACAGTAAGCCAAAAGGAAATCCTGTCTCCCATGAGCAAATAGTGGAAGTCAGCAACCCATTAGCAACGGGTAGCAACTGGCTAAGAAAGGGAAAGATTTAGGACAGAAACGCAGCACATAGTCAAACTATGGAACTCACTCTCTGAGAAGGCAGAAGTGGCCACCCACATGGATGGCTTTAAAAAATTAGAGAAGTTCATTAGGAATATTTAAATATAGATATCATTTAATTAAGTTGTTGTTTTTCTAAAAAAACAAACCCAATTCTAACTAAGAGTACTTCCTAAAGCACGAGCAAAATGGTTGTCCCTGCTATATGTTGGATTACTAGCAATTTCTAAAATGCCCTGGAAATGGGCAGTTTCCCAATTATGGTTGTCTCATATTGCCTATTTTCTTCGGGTGAACAGATTTTCTTCCCTGTCTTATTAGCCAGAAGCTGCAGTGTTTTCTGCCAGTTCTCCACCCCGGACCATGACATACTACTGAATAACTCACCGACTGTGGGGGCCCACCCCGCTTCTTGGAAAGCTGAGGGGAATTACCATATTCTCGGGACACCTGCTTCCTTACTTCAGCTGCCACCGTCCTGTAGGGGAGGAAGAAAACAATAAAACATCCACTTTTCTGGGTCTCCAAAAGCTATCCAGAGAGGTATGCCCCACTGTGTCCCTGGAGAGAGTCTGGCAAAAACGGGAGCAGAATTTCTGCCCACCCACATTAGACTTCCCTAAGAAAGCATTCACTCCAAAAGCTGTCGAGCACAAGCAGCTTTTACTGTTATTGTCTGAAAACCAACTTTTAAGAACACCCCAGGTGCAATTACTATACAGAAGAGTCTAACACAAATATAATAATAAGCAACCTCAGCAACTGCCACTGTATTCTGCTCTGGTCAGACCTCACCTGGAGTACTGTGTCCAGTTCTGGGCACCACAGTTCAAGAAGGACACTGACAAACTGGAACGTGTCCAGAGGAGGGCAACCAAAATGGTCAAAGGCCTGGAAACGATGCCTTATGAGGAACGGCTAAGGGAGCTGGGCATGTTTAGCCTGGAGAAGAGGAGGTTAAGGGGTGATATGATAGCCATGTTCAAATATATAAAAGGATGTCATATAGAGGAGGGAGAAAGGTTGTTTTCTGCTGCTCCAGAGAAGCGGACACGGAGCAATGGATCCAAACTACAAGAAAGAAGATTCCACCTAAACATTAGGAAGAACTTCCTGACAGTAAGAGCTGTTCGACAGTGGAATTTGCTGCCAAGGAGTGTGGTGGAGTCTCCTTCTTTGGAGGTCTTTAAGCAGAGGCTTGACAACCATATGTCAGGAGTGCTCTGATGGTGTTTCCTGCTTGGCAGGGGGTTGGACTCGATGGCCCTTCTATGATTCTAACTCATGAAGCACAATCTCTGCAGCAAGAAAATTAGTGTCATTTCACCATCTCCTTCCAGGTCTTCTCTGCCACTGGCAGGAATCTTTACCACCACAAATACAAAACATAACAACTTACTGAACTATCAGGCAGGCCAGAAAGGCAGGGAGCAGGGCAAGGCTTGGTTTTGAAAAACCAAAAGCATTTACCATAATCTGAAAGGGCAGGGGGAGTTACGTTGTATCTTGCAATGTAAGAAATTCTTAAGATAGCCCTCGAGCAGAAAACATTTCTCATAAGGAATACTAAAAGAAAATGGGGAGCAAGTTTTATGAGCATGAACCAAGAAGTCTTGAAAGTCCTGTTTGATCCACGGCCAAACCATTGGTTATGTGAATCACATGGTTTGCCCTTAAGTGCACAATGTTTATTTCACAAATAGAAGGTGCAGAGACCTGATCAGGATGGCGATGATGGTGTGGAGATAGGACATTTCCCTCCCACTGCAACCCGACTATTAGCTTGGGGGGGGGAAGCTCCCACCGAAACTATATTTTTCCCGTATTGCTGAGGAAGACCCACTGATTTATTGTGTTTAATCTTACAAATCACTTTGTGTATCCATGAACAGAAAAGCAGGGTAAAAATAGTAATCAGGATGATCCAGCGACTCCAAGCCTTCATCAAGCAGACTCCTCTTGGACAAAGGCTGAAGTTTTATGCACACTCAGTCTCAAAAAATAGTCCTATTAAAATCAGTGCATAGGATTGTGCAGGCCTGCATAAAGACCACAAAGAAGCTACAGCTCTCCAGACTCAACAATCAGCACCCGCTGGCCACCAAATAACGTGCTGTCAGATACCTGTTAAGTATCTAATTCCAACTGCAAATTCTATATATTTTTATTTATGTTCCAAAATGGAACTCAGGGTTGTAATGATTTATTTAATACAGTGGATGTGACCAGCCAAGCTATAGAACTCCAACTCTGAGGCAGATTCAATTTGGCTTTGATGCAGCCCAGTGAAAAATCAGTGCTGGACCCTGTAGAAATCCGCTGGAAACTACTTAAAGGGAACACTTTCAGTACCCTCTGGCTTCAGGCACAACACTAAAGGCAATAGATAACTGGGAGGCATCATGATGTGCCAGGCACAAACGGGCAGTACAAGCAAAATGGAAAAAGACAAGGGGACTGCTTTTCTCTGCCTTTCAAAGTAATTCTACAATTATGAAACTGTCATGCAAGATTGGTGGACGTTGTTCTTCCATGAGTTCAGAAAGCCAGCTGTAAGACAAGAGACAGAGAACTCTTAGAGTCCAAGTGTCTTGTTACTGGAGGGTTTCAGAAAGAAACTCACATCGCGGAGACTACCTCCGCAAGGTTTAGCTCAGCTCGGAAAGTGAGCAAATGCTGCACCTTTGGAAAAGCACCCAGTCTGTTAACTTTACTGCATGTGTAAATTGCAGCTCATCATTCAACCACTTGAACTACTTTGGGAGGTTCTCTGATCTGACCTCTGTGTCCTCCGACCCATCCCCACCCTCTTAAAGGAGATGGGCTCATCACAGAGGCTGAGTCAGGGTGTGGAAGTACAGTCGTACCTTGGTTCTTTAACGCCTTGGTACTCGTATGTTTTGGCTCCAAAATGCCAAAAACCCGGAAGTAAGTGTTCCGGTTTGCAAATTTTTCGAAAGCTGAGTGTCTGATGCAGCTTCCGTTTGACTGCAGGAAGCCTTGGTTTTCGAATGGTTTCGGGAGTCAAACAGACTCCCGGAACGGATTACCGTAGATTCAAGATACAACTGTACAAAGAAACCTATTCAGCATCTAGCAGCAGCTCTGTGTAAGAGGGAGGGAAAGAGAAGAGTACCTACCATCATTCCTGTCTTCTTTATTAATTTAGTCTTTTCTGGAGGCTCCTGCATAGCCCCATTTTATGTTGTACATGGCGTGGGAGCCAAGAAACCATGCCCAATAACCTTTTCGGCCCTGGTTCTCACATTACCTCAGTGGTACAGGATGAAGCCACAATACAGTAGCTCCCATAACACTTGTGTAACATAGGATAGAGCCACAGGTGCACCATTAAGGGTTTGATAGGAGGCTGGAGCAATCTCAACCTAAGACTTTAACTTGTTCACTCTGCTGGATAAAATTGTGGGCACCCAGCTCCACACCAACAAGCCAGGCTTCTTAACCAATTGAAGTCTGAAAACACAGCAAATCTGGGCACTATTTAAGGCAGGGTGTGCTTTCCTTTATCAAGACAAATTTCTCAGGGCAGAATTTACACAGACTGAGGGCATATATAGGAGACAGACTTGATTGCCTAATATATATTTTTTATTAAGCCATGACATTTGTTGGATCCTTAACACAACAAAGTTTATCTCCCCTTTAATGGCCTACTAATAATCCAGCCCCATGTTCTGCCCCAGTTCCAAGTGGTTCCAATTATTCTTACATAAGGTAAAGGTAAAGGTACCCCTGCCCGTACGGGCCAGTCTTGCCAGACTCTAGGGTTGTGCGCTCATCTCACTCTATAGGCCGGGAGCCAGTGCTGTCCGGAGACACTTCCGGGTCACGTGGCCAGCGTGACATCGCTGCTCTGGCGAGCCAGAGCCGCACACGGAAACACCGTTTACCTTCCCGCTAGTAAGCGGTCCCTATTTATCTACTTGCACCCGGGGGTGCTTTCGAACTGCTAGGTTGGCAGGCGCTGGGACCGAACGACAGGAGCGCACCCCGCCGCAGGGATTCGAACCGCCGACCTTTCGATCGGCAAGTCCTAGGTGCTGAGGCTTTAACCCACAGCGCCACCTGCATCCCTATTCTTACATAGCATAATACAAATTAAGAGGCAGACAAGCTAATAATCGTGAGCAAATCATGGGCTTTCTGTGCCATCTGTGCAGGCTTGGACTGGGAGAAAAGCTAGTGACCACATATAATCTCAGCAGCTTGCTATGGCTATTTTTTTTAAAAAGGAATATTCCCTATGGTAAAGCTGCACAAGATGAAAATCCTGTGCATGGTCTGCATCTTCTCTCTCTCCCCTCCCCATTCAAAGGGCTTCCAAGGGTGGGACAGGTTGCTCTTGCCAAGGGTCTGAACCAATTGCTTACAGAGGGCTCCCATCCTCCTCCCTCCATCACTGTATCCGTTTTGGCCTTTTTGCCCAATGGCCCTACCTCCTCTTCCTCTAGACTCCCCACACCCAGGTAAAATTAAGCCAATGGCTACAATCTCAAAAGACGACTTCCAGCTTCTGAAATCCACACTTCAGATCCATGGCTTCCCGGATATTTTTTTTAAAAAATGCATCACACAAAATGCCTGCATGACAGTCTTAAGACCATCTGAGCATTAGAAAAGGGGTGGGATATACATTTGACAACAATTGGCGTGAGATGGATTCTCAGTGAGTGAAATAATGGAACAGAGACAGTAAAGACTGTGCAAATTCAAACAAAACAAGGACATCTGAAGAGCTTAACCGGTTTATTGTGGGATCTGTGTTTGTAAACAGAGTGAGAAAGGGGAGAGAATACATCCCACTCCATATTCTAGGAAGGCACGCCTTGGGAAACTTGTTCTTAGATCAACAGCAGGAACTGCTTCTCCTCTCCACCACACTCACCATCCCCAGCTAGCATATATTTACCTCCAAGCAGGCTACTTAAAAAACAGGCAGATGTACCACTAAATCCCCTAACAAGATCAAAGGGCATTTGGAGAAGAAGGGAGAGGAAGCAGGAGGTTGTAAATAAACTGTAATTAAGCGAGAACTTTGCAGCCTGGAAGGAAACAGGCAAGGCCTTAGGTTCTTGGGGACTGGTCCAGGAAACTACCTCACCCTTTCCTTTAGATAAGGAAGTTGCTTTATCAGTGAATCCATGCAGAACAATGCACACAGTTTCCGAGCAGAACAAAAACACCGCAAAGTCACATCACAGACTGGGAATGGTCCAAAAGGCAACCAAGTATAACTGCCTGCTTCATGGAAAGACCCGCACAGTTCCACATCAAACCAGATCACACGGAGTGCCTGAAGTAATAACATCTCTTAATAATATCCACTGTTTTTTTATCTCGCATATACTCCAAAGAGCCTGGAGTGGCACTTTAGCTTTGCAACAAACCTGTGAGGCAGTTTAGCAATTGGGCACGCAAGTTTTCAGAGTGCTGTAAAATCTGAACACGGAACAATTGTTCTAAGTTTTATGAGTGTGCA